CACCTGCCCACCGTCCCTTCCCCACACCTCACTGGATTCTTGTGGAGCCAGGCTGGGTCCTGGGGCCGGAACAGTGGCACAGTGGTGGTCCTGTCTCCAGAACCTCTGGGGAGGGGTGGGCACAAGTCAGATGCCTGCAGATAAATGTAGACTCGGGACGGGGGCCTGGTTACCAGGAGGTCACGTGTGCCACGCCCTCCTCTGTGGACCCGCGTCAACTCCCGGAATCCCTACCCAGCACCCCGAGGAGGACCCTGCTGCCCCCAACAGGAAAGAGCAAGCTCCGTAAGAGGAAACGACAAAGGGCCTTGTTGGATCCAGGAATGGCTGTCAGGGAGGTCACTCAGGGGACATGGTATCTGGGTCAGGACTGAGAGGTTGAGGGATCTGTCGCCCTAGAGGGCAGAGGGGTACTTTCTAGGGAGAAGGCCTGGCATGTGCAAAGGCCCTGAGGCAAGACCAGACTGTGGGCATTTGGGGACCTAAAAGGAAGTCCCTGTGGCTTGAACCTACAAAGCAAAGGTCAGGGGTTCCATGGGGGAAGCTGAAGCTGGGAGTGGGTGGGCGGGGCCCCCTGGGGGACCAGCTGAGAACTTGGCTTTTGTCACAAGCCCAGTTAGGAGGAGCTTTAAGCAGGAAAGTGACCAGTTCCAACGTACTTTTGGAGGAGCCTGGACCATGGCTCAGGGGCAGATTGGAGGGTGTGAGAGGAGCTGGTGAGGAATGAGGGGGCCGAGAGATGAGGAGAGGGCATGGATTTGGGGGTGCTTGGAAGGCAGAGTCCCAGAGATGGGGGATGAGGCCCCCCAATCTGCACCTGGTACAGGTCCCTTGTGCCATAAAGGAGCCAGCTGGCCACCTTGGGAGAGCTGGGGTGCAGCTCCCTCGGCAGGACTCTGGGGGCCTGGTCAGAGGCTCTGCCACCCCTGCCACCTGCCGCCAGCTGCTCTGCACTGGCGCCCTGGCCCGGGCTGGACCCGGCTCCCAATTCTGGTGTGGAAGCTGCCCAGGGCCCTGGGCAGAGGCCACCAGCCCCCTTCTGAGCTGTTCCCCACCCAGCTCCTTTCTGAGCACTTGGGGCATCTCCGGCCGCGGTGAGCCCTGTGGGTGGCACCGAGGTCAGCGTCAGGGTCTTGCTCTCAGGGAAACTTGGCCACGCCAGGGCCGGATGGTCTCCCCAGGACTCACGGGGGAGCTTTGGAGAGAACCTTGACTATCGAGAGCCAGTCAGTCACATCCCCACGGGAGTGGCCTGTGTCCTCCAGCCCCCCGGGGAGGGTCTTCTCCAAGCTGGCCCAGCTGCACGGCGTCGGGGGTCAAGGGAGTGGGAGCGTGCTGAGGACAGATCCCAGCAGGCCGGGCAAGCGAGGGAGGGCTCCAAGCACCCCAAATACTTATTAAGCAAATGGATCCTGGTTCTTGGCAAATGTAAACATTTTCTCACTGGTTGGTGACGGAATCCAGCAAGTCACCAGTGCTGCTGGTGGGCTGCAGCAGGTGAGAGGCTAGGCAAGAAGTTACTGACCTTTGGCCTTTGGGTTTACTGACCCTGATCCAGCCGTGGCTGTGCTCTGCCCGGACAAGGTCCTGCCATTTGTGCACAGCTGCTTCTCGGAACCAGCCTGGGACGGGGACCTGAGGCTGTTGTACTGATTTTGGCCTGAATTTGGGGGTCTCAGGCATGACCTTGTGTCCCCAAGTCTGATGAAGTGGCCAAGACAGGAGGAAGCCACTGGGGTCACTTTGAACATGTACCCATCCTACCCAGAAAGAAGCATCCAGGCTGGAGGCCTGCCTGCAGCCCCAGGCAGCTGGTTAGACCCGCAGGGGTTATCTGGCCCCACCCACGGATTTAGTGAATTCGTCAAGTGCCTTTGTCTCGGGAATGTCTTAACGGGTCTCCAGCACGTGTGGCTTTTCTTGCGGGAGTTTCCATTTAGTAAGGTCTCAGCTGTCAACCCCATGACAGGGTGGTCTGCATGATTGGAATCCAGGCTGACCGATCCCTAGACCCTTGGCCCCCACAGGCCATATCCAGGGCGACCTCTGGGTAGACACAGCATTTAGCTGACCCTCAGCTGGGTCCTGCAGCCATTGCTGCCCAGAAAACCAGGCTTGTCCCACCTGGATTTACCTGTGACCTCAGCCCTGGGGCCCACCTGGTATCGGCCCTGCCGTCTGCTGTGTGCCCAAGCCTGTCAGGGGGACGGGTGGGCTGGGTGGGGACAGCAGCCCTCTACCCCACCCCTGCTTGCAGAGGAAGATGGTCCTGAGAGGTGACTACCAGTCGTCCCAGGAAGCCTGAGTTCCAGGTGAGATGTTCTTGCCGTCTCCAGAGAGATGGAACCGACAGGCTGTAGAGACGCTCTCCACTTAAGGTGGGGCCGTGCGAGTCGAAAACGCATTTGGTTCTCTGACAAAGTTATCATAAAGTCAAAAAATTGTTGAGTTGAAGCATCTTAAGCCCAGATGCTCCTCAACTTAGAATGGGATTATGTCCCAATAAACCCATTGTAAAGTTAGAAAGCCCTAAGTTGGGGGCCGTCTGTGTGTGGAAACACACTCGAGGGATTTATCACAGAATTGGCTCACGTAACCGGAGGCCGAGGAGTCCCGCGCTGTGCTGCCCGCGCGCTGGAGACCAGGGAAGCTGGTGGGAAGATTCAGTCCGCTGAGGGCCTGAGAACCGGGCAAGGTGGTGGGTCCTCTGGTGTGAGTCCCCAAGTCTGAAGGCCTCAGGGCCAGGAGCTCTGATGTCCTCAGGCAGGAGAAGACGCACGTCCCAGCTCGAGGAGAGAGGGACTCCCCCTGCCTCCCCTTTTGCTCTGTTCCTGCCCTCAGTGGACGGGATGTTGCCGGCTCACCTTGGTGAGAGCGGATCTTCACTCAGTCTACAGATTCGAACGCTGATCTCTTCTGGAAACACACCCAGAAATAACGTTCTACCAGCCATCTGGGCATTCCATGGCCCAGTTAAGCTGACACATAAAATTAACCGTCATGGTAGCCTAAACACAGCAGCTCCTGACGCAGCCCGGGAAGATGCCGCCGCCTCCTCGCTGGAGGGGATCTGCCCTGCAGTGTGGGGACCACCTCTGCAAGGGTGCAGAGACCCACCACGCCTGCGCTCCCCGCCCTTGCCTTTGTAATTCCAGGCTGCTGGTGAGGTCTTCACGTTGCGGGTTAAGGTCGTTTTCAGTCTGGGGTGTGGCTGTCTTTGTCCCCCTCCCCCACAGTGGTGGCTCCCCAGGGCCTGCAGGGGCACCGTCGACTCCTTTCCCCCAAGCCCACCTGTGCTCCGTAGCAGGTGCCACTGCTCGAGCCCCCGGCCCGGCTCACCTCTGGAGCCACAGGAAGGGTGGTGGCCAGGCCACCCAGGTCTTCTTTGCCCTGGGAAGGGGCAGGGGAGGGGCTGAGCAGGGGATTCCAGCCCACACCCCAGCGGGCAGTGGCCCTCCGTGGGGCTGCAGGTGTGGAATCCCGCCCAGGCCAGAGCCGAGGCCAAAGACCCACCGAGAAAGCCCACCTGCCTGCCTCTGGGGCTGTCCCCAGAGTCTCGGAAGCTTAGAGTTTGACTCTAAGGCTTTTACTTCTAGGAGTTCATAAGCCGGATTTGTGAGCCAGTTATTGAGAATGGCTCACAAATGCGCGCCCTCTGCCTGCCACGCGTAGCCCGGCACTGCCGGGAGCTGTGAGGAGCTGGCCGCATGCACTGCTGCTCTGCGACCCCGCCTCGGGCTGCTGGCTGCTGTGCAGGGGGGTTCCTGGGGCTGGAGTCGCAAGGTTCCTCCCTGTCCTGTTGTCCCCCGACCTGTGGAGCTCGAGTGTACTCGTCCCTCCGTCCTTCCATTCCAGCAGCCATGTGCTGGGCACTGTTCTGGGCACCCTGTGTGGCCGTAGCTGCCTGCGTGGTGGCTGGGCTCCCTGGACCCCCCAATGTCCTCTCGGCTTCTGGTGCTCATAGGTGCCCCGTCGTGGACTAGCGGGGCTGTGTGGGCTGGGGGACGATCCCAGCAGGCTCCGTGCAGTGGCGCTGTGAGGCTTGAGCGGCCGTGTGGGAAGGGCCGGGAGAGGGGGCACCGCGGCCTCTGAGAAGGACCGAGGACCAGCGGGCATCGTAGGCGCTGGCTCTCCCTTTCATCTGTCTGTCACTTCTCGTTCTTCCTGCCTGTGCTAGGCCTCGGGAGGACAGTGGGGACGGCCAGGGCATCAGGCTTGTCATCAGGTGATCCTGCCCCATTGTTTGGGAGGCGGGGGCTGGGCTGGGCGGAGGGAGGCGGAGAGAGGCCGAGTCTGCGTCTCTCCGAGTGCTGGAAGTGCCTCCCTTCCTGGCTTCTGGGGGCCACCCGCACTGCCTGGCTCCTGGCCCCCCGTCCGCAGACTTCAGTCTCCCTGAACTCTGACCCTCCTGCCTCCCTCTGCCCAGGGGCTCTTCCCTGGGTACCTGTGACCTCGCTCCTTCATGTCACGCAGGTCTTGACCCAGATCTCGCCTTCTCGGTGAGGCTTCTGGGAGCAGCCGCGGTAGCTCCAGCTGTCTGTGCGCACCACCCAGCCGGCACACGGAAGCATTGCGTTGCTGTAGGGAGGCTGGCCATGGGCTGTTACTGTCCCTTCCTCGGGTGTCCTCAGGTGTGGCGGTGGCTGCGTGGTGCTCTGTCTTGCACCAGCCTAGAGCCAGCGCAGTGAGGGAGTCCTCACCCTTCCTCCTCCCACGTCTCCCCCTGACCATGTGGGAGGAGCCCAGTGCACAGCTCCTTCCCACGGTGTGCGCCCAGGCAGAGGGGCAGAGGCTGCGGCCGCCTGGCACGTGCTGGGGGGACCAGCGCACCCTCTGTCTGGGCGCCCCCACACGTGAGAAAGTCCAGGTGCTGAGGTCTGTTCCTGGAACAGCAACTTCTCTGCTGTCCCCGAGGTGGGCACCCCTGCCTCCGTATCTTGGAGTCAGAGGGGGCAGAGTGGGTGTGAGTGGGGGTCAGCCTGCTGTTCTCTCCCCCACAGAGGAGGAGCTCCGGAAGCTGCGAGAAGAGACCAACTCGGAGATGCTGAGGCAGGAGCTGGACCGGGAGCGGCAGCGGAGGATGGAGCTGGAGCAGAAGGTGCAGGAGGTGCTGAAGGCCAGGTACCTCGCACTCCGCTCCCCCTGCTCGGATGCCCGAGCGGCCCTGGCCCTGCGAGTGGGCAGTGTCAGCCCTCCTGGCTCTGCGGGACCCCGAGCACCTCAGGAATGTCACCCTTCGTCCTGGAGGGGTCTGAGGGCGAGTGGTCATTACAGGCCTGGCCCCCGACTGCCCGGGCCTAGGGCTGGCCTGTGCCTGTCTGGGCCGTGGTCTCTGGAAAGGGCTGTCCTCCTGTGCCCTGGGCTGGTCTGGAAAACGGGCAGCCTGGGGACAGTGCTCCTCGTGGTCACCCGGGCCAGGTGGGGACAGGACTTAGGAGAGAATTGGTGGGGGCCTGTGGAGCCCCAGAACCGCTGAACCCACAGTCTTGGCCAGCAGGTGCCCCCTGTCCTATGTGTCCTGATTCCAGTGTTTGGCCCCAGAGGCTGGCCGGGCCTCTCAGGACCTTCTGGGGACCCTGACTCCCCCCACCTGGCCTTTGTGCTCTCCCACGCTCGCTGCCCCTCCCTGGTCTCGGCTGCAGACCCTCCAGGCTCCGCAGCTGCCCACCCTGAACACTCCCTGCCCCTGTGGCCCTGCTGGGCCCTGGGCACCCCTCCCTCCCTGAGCCTCCTTCGTCCTGGCAGGTTCACCCTTCCTGGGGTGGCAGTGCTGCCCCAGCTTCTAGAGATGTTTGCAGGTGACGTCTTTGTTCTCAGACGGGTCCCGCCCCGTGTGGGGTTGAACTGCCCCCGAGCGCGCAGGGCCTCCTCCCTGGCCCCCCCACGCCCTGCCGCATGGTCATTCCAGAGCAACACTGCAGGTTACAGAACAGGTGCCATCCCTGTCCCGAAAAAGCCCGTGAGGCCCCGTGTCCCTCTGCACAGTGTCCAAATCGGATGAGGCCTAGGCGCTCGGGCTGGCCACCTCCACGCCCTCAGCCCCACACCGGCACTGACCACACCTTTGTCCACGGCCCTCCCTGGCTTGAGCGAATGGCTCCCACCAGTTTGGGCTGCACACTGCCACCTGTGGGACAGCCCTACCAGACACTGGTTCTTCATGGGGGCCATTATTATCACGATTCTGAGTCTCCTTACTTCAGCTGGGCCCTGCGCTCTGGGGGACAGAGCCGTGCCAGGTTAGTTACGGAAAGGAGAGCCCTCCTTTGTGTCCCACGCTGGACTCTGGCTTCCTTGTGGGTCTTACCTGTCAGTCCTCAGGTCTGAGCAGCCCGAGGCACTCAGCTTTCACTGGGGGAAGGTCCCTTCGATTCCTGCTCTCGGGGCATCTCCCTGGGGGCCTCCCACGTGGCCTGTTTGGAGTCCCCAGGGTGGGGCTTGCCTTGGGGGCCTTGAGCTTGTTTGGAGAGGAAACGACCCGTAGCCCTTCCGCCCCAGCTGTGAGGTCAGCCCCTTCCCAGAATGGAAGCTGGTACCCGGGCGTCACGGGTACTTACCTGATGTTGAGCCTTTCGCGAAAACTTATAGCAATTCAAAGACCGAATTATATTTATTTACACATAGAGGCGAAACGGAGATCTGACCTGCAACACTGGGAGATCCCAGGGACAGGTGTGGTCCCAGGTGCTTGACGGGAGCTGGGGGTGCATCCCCACCCCCACAGGACACTCCTCCCCTGGTGGTGGCAGGTGGCCTAAGACCGATCCCTGTCCCTCTCCCTCCCCAGGGCGCCCGTGTGTTCTGGTTTCCCGCCATGTTGCCCTCCTGCCCTGCTTCCGGGGATGGTCCTGGTCCTTCCCCTGAGCCCTGTGGTGGGAGTGCCCAGCTGGGCAGTTCCTAGGAGGGGGGGACGGACTCTCCCTTGGGAGCCAGCAGGGGCTGACCGAGGAAGTGGAAACTGAGGGTCCTGGGAGCATTAAGGGGCCCTCTCCTGCTTTACATGGGGGCGGGACTTAGGAACTTTCTGGAAGCCCAAAGGAGAAGGGGTGCAGGAAGAACAGGTCTCAGGCAGAGCGACCTCCTCTTTCCTTGCCTCCTGGGGCCAGTCTGGGGTGGCTGTGGTCTGTCCAGGCTGGAAAGGCATGTGAGGGACCCCACCACACACACATAGCACACGTGTGCACACACACACACACCCCCACACACACTCATGTCACAAACTGAAGCTGCAGGTGAGCTGCAGGATTAACACATAATGATGGTTATACAAACCTCTATTTTGGTTTCTAAGAAAACTCTCAGAAAATCACCTTGGGGTCAGCCTACCTGCGAGTGGGCAAAGGCTTTCTCCATCCTGGCTCCAAAAGCCACCTGACAGCTCTGCCCTCCGTGGTCTGGTCCCACCCGTGCCCCGCCCTGAGCGTTCTTAGAGTTCGCTCCTCCCACAGATGCTCTCCCCTTGCCCACCTCCGGAGCCCCAGAGATAGGAAGGTGGGGGGGCCAGACAGCGTGTGGCCCCATTCTCTGCTACGTCTGCACACGGGCCTCGCTGGAAGGAAGTGGACCCTGGTGACTGTCCAGTGACATCTAGTGCCCCATCCGGCCTGGGAGGGCCCGCAGCAGAGTGGGCCAATGCCTGCCCTGGCGTCCACGCCTTGACCCGGCTCAGGTCTCCACCCCGTGGCCCAGGCAGTTGGGGTCGGGAAGCATTAAGCCTTGCAAGAGGCTCAGACACGGACCACCCCACACTCGTTTGCTTCATCATCGAACAGCAGCATAGTCCTTTGGAACCACTTGGAAGAGTCAGTTGTCGTTAGCAGTGTTAACACAACAGTCCTTTTCCCCTTGGACAAGGTTGCCGCGTTTGTGTGGCTTTGAGGACCTCCTGGGGGCTTCCCACTTCTCAGAGGCCGCGGCGGCACCCCTTGCTCAGGCTAGAATGTCCTGGTACCTTGCCTGCTCTCTGTTTCCCTGCCACGTTTTGAAAATGTATCGTGATAACACTGTTATCAGTGTGTTCTTACGAGCAGTCCTGGCAGGTGGTCACCGTGTTCCATGTTTGGCATTACGTGAAGGAAGTGGCATTACGTGAAGGAAGTGACGTTCCTGCCGCCTAGGGCACCTGCTCCCGGGTCTGCAGTCCTCCTCCACTGAAGGCAGCTTGCTGCACAGTAATATCTAAACGCTTGTTTGTGTCTAGCGGCCATTGACTGTGCATTATTAGATACAAAACACGCAGTGCCAACCACAGACCTGGGAAGGCCCCTGCCCACTCTGGGCCTCCCCACCCCACTGCCCATCCATGGCTGGGGCGAAGTCATGAGCATTTGGCCTCGAGGCCTCATGGTACACACCTGAGCCAGACTTTGGCAGGAGCCTTTTTTGTTTTTTTAAAGACCGGGTCTCTGTCTGTCACCCAGGCTGAGTGCAGTGGCTCATAGCTCACTGCAGCCTCAAACTCCTGGGCTCAAGTCATCCTCCTGCCGCAGTCTCCTGAGTAGCTGGGATTATAGGTATGCGCCACCACGCCCAGCTAATTTTTCTATTTTTTTATAGAGATAGGCTCTTGCTATGTTGCCCAGGCTGGTCTCGAATTTCTGGCTTCAAGCGCTCTTCCCGCCTCAGTCTCCCAGAATGCTGGGGTTACAGGTGTGAACCATGGCGCCCAACCAGGAGCCAGTTTTTGTGCTTCATGGCTGAGTTGCCTCTTCTGGAGTCCGCAGGCTGGTTCAGGGAGAGTCCTGGTCCAGCTGCCCAGGAACAGGGCAACCCACTGGGCTCCCGGCGTCTCCCATGTGCCCCAGGCACCTCCTGTTCCCTGTGAATTCCTGTTTTTCCGCCAGTTCTGGGCATGGACGGTCATTTGGGCAGCGCCACACCCCGGCCGCAGGGAGGGTGGGCTTGGAGTCCTGGCCCCTCCCCCACCGCCACCTCCATGACTCCCGTCCATTGCTCAGGGGCCGCAGCCCTCGCCCAGCGCCAGCTCTGCTGGTTTCCTGTCCAGTTGTCCTCCACGTTCTGCGTGCTCCGGCACGATGCGGCAGTTACAGGTGACAGGGACAGGTCACGAGTCTGAGGACCGGGTTGGTTCGTGGCACTGTTGGTGTGAAATCACGGAACGTGAACAGAGCAGAAACTGCCTCTCCCCATCACTGCAGGTGAGGGGTGCCTGTGCCGAGGGTCGCTGGCCCTGGAGGAGGGCCCGTGCACCCCTGCCAGCCCTGCCCAGGTCTGCCTGGGGCCCCGTGGGACCGGGAGCGCAGAGGCGCCTCTGTAGAGCCGGACAAGGTGGGCTGGGCGGTGCGGCTTGGGAGGGAGCAGCTGGCTGGAGAACCAGGACAGAGGCTGCACCCAGGGCCCGGTCCAGGCTGCACGCTGAGGTCGAGCTCCCTCAGGGCACACAGCGGACGGGTCTATAGGATCTGACGGGTGGACAGAAACTCCAGGAAGGGCAGAGCCCGAAGGGTCTGAGTTCCAGTGACAGCTGTGATCAGGGTACAGCAGGGGTTGGGGACAGGGAGTCCAGGCAGGTGGCTGACCTGGGCCGAGCTGGGTGCAGGCAGCTGACAGGGCGTCACCCAGCCTGTGGCCTCGTGTGGTGCCTGATAGATTCGTGTGTGATAGTATCTTTCCTTTAGCAGCCTGATGGGCAATAGAATTTTAAGAGTTAAAATTAACAGGGAAGAAAAGAGCTGCATGAGACTTTATTTGGTTCCTAAAAGACAACACACGTGCCTGTTAGGGGAACATGGCTCTGTGCTTGCCCAGCTACCATCACGACCGCCATTCGAGCAGTTTGGGGTCCCAGGGAGTGCCGCTCACCCCGCCCTCCCTGTGCAGTGCGTGCTGTGTGAGCCCCAGAGCTGTGCACGGCCGACCATGTTTTGAACTAACAGACATCTTGCCTCTTCTCCCTGCTCTTTTAGAACCGAGGAGCAGACGGCTCAGCCGCCGCTGAAGGGGCAGACCCAGGCCACCAACGGAGCAGGTAGGCCCGGTGGGCGGGCAGCGGTGCTGGTTCTGTTCCTGGGTACCCCCTGGCACCTGGGAATCTCCTCCCGTCAGAACTGGGTTACCGTCTCTCTCTGGGAGCTGATGAGTCATCGCAGCAAACTCGAGTTGTCAACCAAAACCTGATTGTACTTTCTCATGGAAATATAACATGCTGTTTTGGCTTTGCCCACGGAACAGCCGTGTGGGGGTCACACTGGTCCCTCTGCCATTGACCTGGTGGCCTGCTGTCTGGGCTGACCATCCCGATGGGATGGAACCAGCAGTGGGGGCCGCCACTGGGATGTGCCAGCCCCGGGGTCAGGGGACAGAGCCCTTTTCTCTCTTCTCCTTGTCTTCCCACGCCTTGACCCCTTTTTTCTTTCACTCTACACTGTGCTTTCTAGAAATTCTCATTCAGAGGATCGATGAGGTAGGGGACATTCAGCTCTCGCGGGCTTGGCCTGTGCACCCCGAGGCCCCCAGTGACCAGTGAGGGTCAGAAGTGCAGATGGGGAAGACCCCAGCTCTCGCAGTGCCTGTGGCCTTGTCCCCCTGCTGTGGTCAGGCGGTGCGCAGGCTCTGTGTCGGGGGAGTGTGGAGGGGGAGGCGCTGGCTTCCAGGGTGGCCCCAGGCACCCTCCAGGGAGGGAGGAGGTGGGGGTGGGGACAGACCTGGTGCACCTTGCGCAGGAGAAGTGGAGGCCCGGCGGGGGTCAGCAGGCAGTCCCAGTGATGGGGTCAGTCACGAAAAGGTGTCAGGGATAAAGCCACGTGAGGGTTCTGCATTACCTCCAGGGAGTTAGTCCCCAGGGGCCTGGCTGAGAGATCCCCCGGTCCTGGTTAGTGAGCAGGGGCCGGGTGGGCTGCAGGACGGGGGGAAGCCTGCGCTCTCCGGGCAGCTGGCACCGTTCCCTGCACGTAGGGGTCAGCACGCTGCAGCCCCCGTCTGGTTTACATTTTAAACAGCTGAAAAAATCAAAAGACTATTTGGTGACATGTGAGCATTATGTAAATCTGATATTTCAGCATCCATAAATAAAGTTCCATAGAAACAACGCCAGGCCCGTTCGTGTACGGCTGTCTCCGCCACGGGGACAGGTTTGCTGACGCCGCCTGGACACTCACCCTAAAAAACCCTGCCAGGGCCCAGCTGGGGTGCGAGAACTTGCCCGCCCCATCCTCCCCAAGAGCTCCGAGCTCTGCCCTGCCCGGGTCTCGGGGTGCACACACCTCAGCGCCCCATGGCCTGTGGTCCTCAGGCTTATGTCCTAGGCCCGCAGCGCAGGGTTGTTGGTGGCACCTGCCCTCCATTCCCACACGCCCCAATCACAGAGGGACAGCGCCCCCTGTGGGCAGCCCCACAGCCAGCTTTCCGAAGGGACAGATGGGTCCATGCCACGGTACCCATGTCGGGCAGGAGCCCTCCTGGGTTCCCGTGGTGTGCGCTAAGCCCTGGTGACCAGTGTCAGTCACCAGCACTAAGCCACGATAGCCCACCCAGGCCAGCCACTGCCCTCGCCGGGCTCTGTCCGTCCCAGGACAGCCCCCCATTGGCTGATCCTCAGACTCTGCAGGGCCAGGGGGTGACGAGCCCACCCAGACAAGCCGGAGGTGGAAAGGGAGGTTGAGACAGACCCCTGAGGTGGGCTGAGAGCTGGCCCGGACGGACAGCACTGGCCTAGACAGCCGGGCGTGCCCAGAACACGATGGTCAGGGTGAGACACACGACCCCACGCAGCGGTGGGTTTTGCAGCCGGGCGGCTTTGGTCTGCGTTTGCTGTTCGCACCTCGTGTCTTTAGAGAACTGAGCCCTCAGAGCCCCCTCTGGCGTGAGCCCCTTCGTTTCCCCGCTCCCTGGGGAGGCCCCTGCCCCTGCAGGCGTTTCCTGTGCCCCTCAGGCCCCTCACTGGGCCTCCTCTGCCCCTCCCACACCCCCGCAGACCGCCGGAGCCAGGGGCTGTCCTCCCGCGCCCAGAAGTGGTTCTACGAGAAGTTCGGGGTGTACGTGGAGGACTTCCGCTTCCAGCCCGAGGAGAGCACGGTGGAGGCGGAGGAGCCCCTCAGTGCCCGCAGGTAGGGGCCCCACACCCAGCCCGGGGGTGGCCGTGTTGGGCCGTCCCTGTGCCAAGGCTTTGGCAGCCCAGAGCCCCATCACGCCCACCGGTCTCACTCTTGGTTTGTGACAAATGTCCTGTGGGGACACTGGGCTCAGGGGCAAGTGCCCACCACCCCGGGGCCCTCCCTACATCGGGTGGTTCGTGTGCGCTATCTGCAAACGTCGGCCCCACTCGCCAGGCCCAGGGGGTTCCGGGGGAGCCCGGACAGCAAGGCCCTGGGGACTCGTGTGGGCGGGAGATGAGGGGAGCGCCTCTGTTGGCGAATCACCGCGTCTCTGAGGGAGTTGGCAGCAAGGGCCACCTGGTGCACGGTGCTGTTCGAGTCACCGCACGTGCCCCGGGCACTTGGGGCATCTTCCCGGGAGCCAGCAGGGCGTGGGCGCGGGGACGCAGAGCCAGAGTCGCACTGACGCCGGCTCCTCTCCCCTCCCAGGTTGACTGAGAACATGAGACGCCTGAGTGAGTACCCCGCGCCGCCGCCGCCAGGGTGGGGCTGCCGTGAAATGACCTGAGCTTGTCCCAGGTGGATGTTGTCAAGGAAGGCTCCTGCCCCGGCCCTGGGGAGGAGACTCCTGTTGGGAGTCTGGCCGAGGCCTGCCCACTTTTGGAGGCCCACATGGGGGACCCCCTGGGGTGGGAACAGAGCCCCCTCCCCTCCCCCGCAGCCTGGAGCCCCAGCGTTTGGGATGAAATCTGATGCTTTTCTCAGACTCTCCCAGCCCCAGGGAGTGCGAGTGGGGCTCCTCCCTTGTGTTTGCCTGTCCCCTTTCTCCTGTCACTGCTGTGGGGAGGGGCAGGTGGCATTTCCCCACAGGGACAGCAGGCTGCCTCGGGGGAGTGCTGGCCTGGGGTCACCAGGAGCCTGTATTGGCCCAGGTTTTGCGTAGCCGGGGTGGCCAGCCTGACCCTGTGCGTGGGCGCGAGGAGGCGGGCGCTGGGGCTGACCGCTGCCATCTGCTCTGTCCCCAGAGCGTGGTGCCAAGCCTGTCACTAACTTCGTGAGGAACCTTTCTGCCTTATCTGACTGGTACTCCGTCTACACGTCGGCCATCGCCTTCACCGTGAGTGGCTCCTTGTAGGGTGGGCGGATCATGTCCCCCCAACCCTGGGCAGCACTTCTGTGGGCCCCAGGGATGTGCCCAGCCTCAGGTTCCTCATCTGTAAAGTGGGTGCGCTGATGCTGACCCTAGCCACGGGGTGGCTTTGAGGATCAGAGACGTTGGGTTGGGCCCAGGGCGGGCAGCAGGGCTCCCTGGACAGGGCGTGGTGGCCACTGTCTGGACACAGGCACGGCCCTCACTGCAGCGTCCTCAGGACAGGGCCTCCTGATGTGGTTGTCACCCGGTGCAGGGGCCGGGGAGGCTCCAGACAAGGGCATGATGGGATGGGGTACCCAGCCCAGCCTCTGTGAGCCGCGACTGCTGGGAGGGATAGGACCGCAGGGCTGGCGTTGCCAGGGGCTTCGGGGAAGACAGCCCAGCTGCCCTGCCCGAAGTCGTCCTGCAGCGGCTGCCCCTCAGCCATGCACAGGAAGACCCCGCCTGTTTCTCAGGGCTGGAGCCCGTGACCCTAGGGGTGGAGGACTGCGCCTCCCGTGAGGATGCAGGCTGCCCACCTACCTGCTGCGGCCTCGAGGCCAGAGCGGGGCGGCCACAGCCCCAGGAACCCTCCAAAGCTCCCAAAGGCAGCACAGTCCTGTTGAGCAGAGCCCACCTCTGTCCCGAGGTCTCCAGCTAGCTGGCTTCAGCCTGGAGGGGTCATGAGGACCACCCTAGCCCCGACCCTGGGTCAGGCCATCTGGGCACATGTCTGAAGCCCTTGGCTGGTGCCTACCCTGGGGACTCCCGCCCACCTGGGAGATGAAGGTTGCCGGGGGCAGGTTCATCTTGGCCCTGGGGATCCTCTTCTCCCACCACCTCTGACAGACGCCTGGCACAGCAGGGCCTTTGCTGCCTCGGGTCCGGGATACCTGCGTATCATGTTTCTTACGGCTAAGAGACTGCCCCAGATTCAGACCCACCTCCCTGGTCTCCACCTGGCCACAGGTGGATTCTATTCCCAGCCCACTCAGGGCCTTTGCTCTGTGTCTGTAGCTTTGTGTGGGGCACAGGGGGCCCCAGGTGACGGTAGCCCTGGTGGTAGCATCTGGGCTGGTCCTCAGCCCATGGTTGGCCGCCCCACTCAGGTGTGCGGAGACCTAGTGACGCCTGAGTCCAGTGCGTGGAGCCACGCCTGGGGGCTGTGACAAGCAGGGCAGCTGTCTCTCCTGCTGCTGTCTGTTCACAGCTCAGGACACGCCCTCCCCACCCATGCAGGACAGCTTCTCTGTCCCGTGTGGGTTTCTTGCTCCCGTGGGCAGCTCTCAGCTGGGAAGCAGCCCTTCCTCCAGCTTCCCTTTGCACGTGCCCTCCTCCCTGGGTGTTTGGGGAGCCTTGGGGCCACATCTCCCTGCCAGGCGCTGCTGGCTTGGGGGGAGGTGGGAGGGATGCAGCTCATCCTGACCCAACCGTCACGTCACCTGCCCTCCCCCTTCCGAACCGCAGGTGTACATGAACGCCGTGTGGCACGGCTGGGCCATCCCATTGTTCCTGTTTTTAGCAATTCTGCGGTTGTCCCTCAATTACCTCATCGCCAGGTAGGTGAGCTGGCTTGGTGTGTGGCCGCTTTGTCCCACCATGTGCATGGCTGTGCTGTGTCCCTGTGTCACACACAACCGTGGCACTGGATGGGTGCGTCGTGCGCTGGCATTTGGAGGGTGATCTTCTGGCAGGCTCCAGAGACCCCTGGGCGGGAACTTCTCCCCAAACCTCAGCGTGTGTGTCGCTGAAGCCACAAGGGCTCAGTGCCGTGTAAGGCCCCTGCTGGTGGCCGTCACACGACGAACAGGCCGGGACTCGGGGGCTGTGGGGTGGACAGTCTACAGTTCGCCCCTGCCTGGGGGGCGCGTTGCACCAGCCTGGGCCCATGTCACTCCTTGCACCCCCACGCAGCACCCCTCACTGTGGAGGCCGAGGGGCCTTGCAAGGCCCCCAGCCTGGGGCTGGGGAGAGCAGCCCGGACGGATTCTGACTTGCGCTCGGCCCTTCCCAGTTTGCGCTGATTTTCTAGGTGACTTTCTGTGCCTGCTCACGCGGGCTCGTCTGGAAATGTTTTTTGCGGAGAACATTTACACTCTGGTGGGAGTCTCGGCACCTGCCGTGCTGCTCCCGCTGGTTTCTATTGAAGGCTTCTCCCCTCCATGCCTCTGGCTGCTTTTAAATGTGTCCCCTCCCCTCAGGACGGCCCCCAGCGGGGCGGTGAGGGTGATGGGAGTTATCCGCTGCTGGGGAGCGGTCCTGGTGGTCCGGGGTGGACTGGCGGGGTTTTGGGAGCCTCTTACCCCGTCTGGCCGGCAGGGAAGGGCCCCTTCAAGCCTGCGGGGAGGGCAGGGCCGGTGACTCGATGCCACCCTTGACCACGCTGCTTGCAGGTGGCACTGTTTAAAGGTGTGTCGTTGCTTCCTGTTTGCCAGGGGCTGGAGGATTCAGTGGAGCATCGTGCCAGAGGTGTCTGAAGCTGTGGTAGGTCCTGGGAGGGCCGAGGGTCTCCTCTGTCTGTCCCCGCCAGGTCAGGCTCAGAACCCGTGTGTGCTGCGCGGGAAGGCCCCCGGTGGGGCGGCCCCCAGCGGAGGCTGTGTGGTCACCCTCTGGGAGCTCCCTCGAGAGGAGAGGTGGGGGAGGAGAAGGCAGCCAGCCCAGCCCCAAGCCCCGGGAGGCCGTGCACCGTGCCCTGCCCTAGCTGGGGCTCCCAGCCAGGATGTGATGTGGTGGCAGTGGGGGATGGTGAGGGACCCCTATAGCCCCCACAGCCTCCCTGGGTAGGGTGGTAAACAGTGGGCTGGATGAGTAGATGTGGTCCCACTGGGACCCTAGAGTCCGCCTCTGACCCACTGCCTGGTTTTGTAAATAGAGTTTTATTGGCACACAGCCATGTTCATTCATTTACATACTGCTATGGCTGTGTCTGTGCTACAGTTGAGTAGCTGTGACAGACCACGTGGCCTAAGAAGCTCCCTGACCTTTTACAGAAATTTGTTGCAGAGGGAGACCCCCACCCATGGGGCAGGACCACCAGGTGTGGGTAGAGGGAGACCACGGTGCCTCCACGTTCTTGTCAGACATCAAGCACCTGTTCTGTCATGGGGCACGCAGAGGTGGGGGTGGCAGCCGGGAGGAGGCAGGCCTGTGCCCGCCTGGCCCTGGAACTTGGGGCCCTAGAACTTGGGAGGTTCTTAATGAATGGGACACGTGTGGACTGGGACAAGCAGGACAAGGCTGGCGTCCCTGCCTGTGGGTGAGGGAGTGGGGGCTGGGTGGTCTCAGATGCACCTGTGCAGGTGAGCTCTGTGAGTGGGAGCCTCGGCCCAGCCACTGCGGGGGCGGCTCTGCCCGCCCCACCTCGGGCGCCAGGGTGCGATCTCACCATCAGCCCAGAAGGGCGCCTGGTTCCCCAAGGGATGTCCCCTCCTCACTGACTACGTAGGGATGGCAGAGTGACCCACAGGTGCCTGGGGCTGGGAAGCCTTCATGCTGTTTTGTCAGTAATTTTTCTGAACTGTTAAATTTCAGTGGAAAATTCTCTTTCCCCTTTGACTGAAGGAACCTCCCAAGGAGGACCTGACTGTGTCTGAGAAGTTCCAGCTGGTGCTGGACGTTGCCCAGAAAGCCCAGGTACTGCCGCGGGGCCCCCAGTTCAGCCTCTGTGGACGGTGGGTGGGGCTCTGGGTGGAGGAGCCCCCCGGCTGGAGGCCGGACTGGATCTGGGTCCCCTCCGCTCCAGGCCAGGCCCCCCACAGGCCTGGGAGCGGCTGGACAGGACTGTGGGGCTGTGGGGGGCTGTGGGGCTGTGTGTCTGTGGCCTGTCTGAACTCGGGGTGTCCCGGGCCCTTGGTGTCACTGCGAGGTCTGTTGTGATCAAGGTTTTTCTTCGAGCAGAACCTGTTTGGCAAGATGGCCGACATCCTGGAGAAGATCAAGAAGTAAGTCCTGAGCCCTCACCCTGCGGCACGGTGCGCCCCGCCCCGCCTGAGCCTGCCGTCTCCCTTCCAGCTTGTTCATGTGGGTGCAGCCGGAGATCACGCAGAAGCTGTACGTGGCGCTCTGGGCCGCCTTCCTGGCCTCCTGCTTCTTCCCCTACCGCCTGCTGGGGCTCACCGTGGGTAAGGTGCCGTCTGGCCCCAGGGGCCTGCAGCAGCGGGGAGGGGAGGGGACGGAGGCTGCTGCGTCCCAACAGGGTCTGCGGGGCGTCTGCTGTTAAACACCCTAAACACCCAGGGGGTCCTTCCTCTGCTTTTTGTCAGAATGTTTCGATTTGGGAGAAAGGGAGCCATGTGGGATCTAGGGACACGATGATCATTTCTTAAACCGGGCACACCCTCTGCTTCTAAGGCCCCCCTAGTTTCTTGCCCCGTGGAACGAGCAGGTGAAGCCCAGACCCAGTCTGCCAGGCCCTAGCGCCATCAGGGAGTCGCCTTGGGGTGGGACGCCTCTCTGGGTGCCCATCGGCCGGGGTGACGGTCAGGGGAGCCTGAGTCTGGTTTGAGGTGCAGGGAGACTGGTCGTGGCTGACAAGTTTGGTGACGTGGCGTGAGGCCGCGGGTCACGTCCACCTGAAATGCTCCTTTCTAGAGTCGGTGTCGGGAGGGAGAGGGGAGCTGCTGTGAGGCCGTGGTTCCGTGGGAGGCAGGTGTGGTCTGTGGCACCCCCTTACCACGGGAGATGGCCTGTCCCCTTCCCTCCTCCCCACGGAGGCGGCTTGTCCGCTTCCCTCCTCCCACGGGACGCAGCCTGTCTGCTTCCTGCCCTTCTCTCTTCCTGTCCTTCCCTCAGCGATAGCGATCCGGCGTCCAGTGGGGACCAGGCACTGACCTCAGGAGCAAGGCCAGTGCTTGTGGGGCCGGTGGGAATCGTGAGGCCAAAAAGGAGGTTTGTGCGAGTTGTGAGGGAGGGGTGGGGGGAGAGCTCCGCGCAGGATCCTGGAGGTCCCATCTCGTCCCCGCACGCTCTCAGATGCCGGGAAGCCCGGCTTGGCACGTGCTTAGGGGTGGGACAGAGCCTGCTGGCATGAAAGAGAGACGTTCCCCTGCCCTTTCCCAAATCCCCTGGCCATGAGCAGAGGAAAGTCCCTCAGGCACTTAGCAGGGCTGGGTTCTAGCAGCAGCAGCTCGCGGCAGCTCCCTGTCATTCATCAGGTGCCAGCACCAGTGTGGCCAGAGCCAGATTTGATCAGGGCTTTGGTTTTGAAACCCAGATCTTTTTTTTTTTTTTTTTATTTCAGCATGTTATGGGGGTACAGATGTTTAGGTTATGTATGTTGCCCTTGCCCCCCCGCCAAGTCTGAGTTTCAAATATGTCCATCCTTCGGGTGGTTCGCATTGCACTCTTTGTGTATGCAAATACCCGTCCCCTCCTTCCTCCTCCCCCCGAAACCCAGATCTTTACCTCACAAATGCCCTTGGGCCCTGCTGGCCAGCACCAGGACTCTTGGAGCATGAGCGTGGAGGGGACCCTTAAGACCTCCAGTCAGGCCTCTGAATGGGGGCACGGCAGGAGGCCTAGCAGCACCTGAGGCCCGGCTGCCCTCTGCGTTGAGCCCAGGGGGTGGGCACCTGGATCTGTCCTGCTGTCCTCTTTTGTGGCAGCCGGTGCGGCTTGGTCCTTGCGACCACACCAAGATCGCCGCCACCACTGGGTGGAGCTGACTGACGCCGCCAGGTGTGGGTCAAGGTCATCATCCTGGTTCTTCACCGCCCGCCCGCCCTCCCACGGTGCTGGGGGGAGACCTGCATGTGGGGGTGAGGATGGCCCCAGCTGGGATTCGAAGGCCCTTGGGCTGAGCTGTCCCTCTGGCCGGGCTGGAGGAGGTCAGGGAGCTCCATCTAATTGACCAAGCCGGTGTCCCACCTGCGCCCCTCCCCGCCTGATCATATTTCCAGAGTTAGAAAGTTGGGACTTGGGGTCAGAAAGTCTGACTTGGTTTATAAGTTTATGTGAAAAAGTGTCATAAAGGCAAAAAACAAAGCAAAGCAAAGGCATAGCTTTATCCAGTTTCTTTTATACAAAAGTGCAGATATTTTACATGAAACTGAGCCTGCAGGAAGGCGCTTTGCATCTGGGCTGGTCTGTCCCGCTGGGCACTCTGGGCAGCACTACAGCCCCCAGCGCTGGGAGGGGCCGGCAGTTCTAGCTGCTCAGAGGGACGCACTTCCGTGGCTTGAGGAGGCATGCATGGGTGGCACTGGGCCTCTGGCCCCTGCTCTGTTGCCACGTGGGGCCGTGGGTGCAGGCTAGTGTGTCCGCTTCTCCGCACTCTAGTGCTGGGTGTGCTCAGCTGGGCAGGCAGCCCACAGCTGCCGAACCAGCGCAGGGGGACGGGAGCCAGCCATGGGTGGGGAGGCCTCGCAGGGGGCACGGCTGCGGGCCTGGGGCAGCACTGGGTGAGGGGCCAGGTGGGAGTGGACTTGGGGAGGGCCTTAGATTCTGTGTCAGGTGTGGGGAGTTTGAACAAAGGAGGGATATTTCTGACGTGTTTTAGGTGGATCAAGAATAGTCCTGGGCCAGGGCAGAGTTGGGGAGAAGTAAGGGGGCACTGGGGAGACCAGCAGAACTGGGGTAGGTGGGGGAGGGTGTGGCTGGGGCAGGAGTGGGTGTGGCCTGGGTGAGGGGGATGGCCTGGCAGGGGAGGGTGTGGCCTGGGTGAAGGCACAGCCTGGGCAGAAGGCATTGCTTGGATAGGAGTGGGTGTGGCCTAGTCTAGAGCATGTGGCCTTAGGTAGGAGGAGGTGTGGTCCAGGTGGGTGTGGCCTGGTGGGAGTGAGTATGTCCTAGTCTAGAGGGTGTGGCTTAGTCTAGAGGGTGTGGCCTAGTCTAGAGGGTGTGGCTTAGTCTGGAGGGTGTGGCTTAGTCTACAGGGTGTGGCCTGGTGGAAGTGGGTATGGCCTAGTCAAGAGGGTGTGGCCTGGTAGAAGTGACCTGATGGGAGTGGGCATGCCTTAGTCTATAGGGTGTGGCCGTTGGTCCTAGGGGATCTGACCTGGTTGCAAGGCAGACCCACTGATTTGCAGGTGGATGGGAGGGGGGTGAGAGAGGGAGCTAGGGATGCTGAGGGTGTTCTCTGAAGTGCTGGGTCAGTGATGGTGCCCTTTGGTGCCACAGGGAAGGTGAGGAGGGGCACAGCGGGGAGGGGCGTGTAAGTGACTCTGGGGTGGAAGGTGTGTGGAGCTCAGGGTGTGGTCTGGCCACTGGTCTGAACGTGCGGGACACGGCCCTCGCCTGGTGTTAACTATGAGGCTGGGCAGGGGTGAGGCTGAACTGGGGTCCGACTCAGGTCCAGGAGAGCCCGGGCTGGGCTGGGATCAGGGGCAGGGTGCAGATCTGGGAGGCAGAAGGTGCTGGAACCGTCATCCTCAATAGACACAAAATCGCCATGTTCTGGGTCAAACAGGGCTCCGTCTCCCCCGCCCCAGGTCTCTACGCGGGCATCAAGTTTTTCCTCATCGATTTCATCTTTAAACGCTGCCCGAGACTGCGAGCCAAGTACGACACGCCCTACATCATCTGGAAGAGCCTCCCCACGGACCCCCAGCTCAAAGAGCGCTCCAGCGCCGCGGTGTCACGCAGGGTGAGTCCCCGGCCTGCCGCTGGGGAGCGCACAAGGGGGCCCATGGTTCTCTGTTCTCCTCCAGCCCATTTGGGAGCTGACCGTGTCAGGTCGTGTGGGGCCCTGGGAGCACCGTGAGGTTCTTCCCTGTCACGTCTTTTCGGAGGCCCATCTGTCCCTTCATGCACCTGTTAGGGGCCAGCCACCCCCTCCCAAGCCCAGGGCAGCATTTGAGGGCTGGGCTGGAGCCCCCTCTGCCCGAGAGCTCCTCGAGGTGCTTCCTCAGAGGCTTTCTGGGAGCAGGGTCCCACCGAGCCAGGCTGAGGGCAGGCCAGGTGCAGAGTGCAGGGTGCTGAGAGCCAGGGTCCTGGGGCCTGGGAGTGATCACTCCACGGTGGGGGCCCGGGCCTTGCCGTCCCTGACTGTCAGGCTTGGGCGTTGAGACTAAGCAGCACCTGAGAAGGGCCCACCCTGGGCTCACAGGCTGGTACTGGGCCACATTCGTTTACAGTGACAGGCCCTATGGGGGTGGGCATGGTGTCCTGAGGCAGGACACAGGTGTTCTCCTCAGGGCCTCTCAGACCATCTGGGAGGTTCTGGGCCCAGCAGGGCTTCCAGGAGGTTTAAGAGGGCTCCCTGGAGGCGGTGTGGTTGGCACACAGTCCCGTGTGTGAGTGTGTGCTGGGGAGAGGGTGTCCCAGTGTCCTGCTGATGCTCTGTAGCTGGCAGTGGAAACTCGGGGTTGGATGTGGGTCATGCTTGCAGGTCCCTGGATGCCAAAGCATTTTGGGAACCTGAGCTGAGCCGTAGGACAGCCCAGCCAGACACAGAGCAGCCTCAGGGAGCCGCCCGAGAGGCCCTGGCCCGCGGGCGTGCAGTGTCCCCAGGCACAGAGGCAGCGTTGGGGGAGACAGCCCAGCTTGGCCCCAGGGCAGCTGGAACGGGCTTTCGGGCAGCAGGGCTGCTTAGTGCTGGCCCCCGTAGCGGAGAGTTGGGGGCAGCAAGGACGTCGGCTGTGGCGTCCCGAGGTGGGGGCTTCCCGCGGGCTCACAGCTCTGCTCAACTCGGTGTGTTTGTGACCTTGTGTCATGCGGGCCCAGTCCTTCTTTTGTTCCGGTCACACGTGTGCCTATTGTCTCCCTTCCGGCCAGCTGTCAGGGCACGACAAGGTATGGTGTCTGTGTGGAAGGACCTTGGCCTGCCGTGACCCTTGCTGTGTTGTGACTGGTTTTCTCACGTTGCCTTCGGTGGCCTGTGCCACGGCCGGTTTTGATTCCTGACGCGTCGATTTTGGCTCTCGGTGCAGACCACACGCTGGGCAACAGCGTCCTTGGCCTGCTGTGCTGGGGTGCGGCTCGGCCACGGTGTTTGGGCCGGGAACGTGCTGCCGGGGGTCTCCCCTCCATGGCAGAAGGTAGAGCAGAGGTGGCACTGGCCGGGGTGGGGTACTCCGCCCCGCATCGCGACTGCCGCTGGCAAGAGGGTGTGCGTGCCCGTTAGGGCGTGGAAGTGGCAGGGAGCCCGGGCTGCCCCCACGCGCTGGCGGGGTCTGACCGGACGCTGCGCTGCCGGCAGCTGCAGACGACCTCGTCGCGGAGCTGTGTGTCCAGCGCGCCGGCTGGGCTGGGCAAGGAGGAGGACGCCGGGCGCTTCCACAGCACCAAGAAGGGCAACTTCCACGAAATCTTCAACCTGACGGAGAACGAGCGGCCGCTGGCGGGTACGTGTGCGACGAGCCGGTGACCCAGCCGGGCTGCGGCTGTGTCGAGGTGACCCGTCCCTCAGGACAGGCCCCGGTGGCCTCTCAGGGTGCCCACGTCCCGCTCCCCGGGGAGGCGTCCCATCGCAGGACGCGCGTTCCCAGGGAAGCGCTTACGGGCGGGTTTCGTCCCGTCAGTGTGCGAGAACGGCTGGCGCTGCTGCCTGATAAACAGGGACCGCAAGATGCCCACGGACTACATCCGCAACGGCGTGCTCTACGTGACGGAGAAGTGAGTGTGGCCGCGGGCGCAGCCGGTGGCGGGAGGTGTGGGGCCCCACGCCAGCCCCGGGTGAGCAGTTTTCCCGGGTGGCCTCCGCTGCGCGGGCCGCAGGGGACACGGCGATCCCGCCCTTGCTGGCTGCCTGGCCGGCGGGTGCTGAGCCTGATCGGGGAAGCTCCTGTGGGCCAAAGCCATGCAGGGAGGAGAGGGACGGACTCCCAGGGAGGGGACTGTGCGGTGACCCACTGGGACCGAGCCTGGGGGCCTTGTTGCCTGTTTGGAGCGAAGGCAGCTGTGGGTTTTCTGCACTGGAAGGAGACCGACCTTACCAGCAACCAGCAACCCCGGGTGTGGGAGCTGGGAGAACCAGCCTTGGGCGGTGTCTGTTCTTGGTGTTGCAGGGCCCTCGCTGCCCTGTGCCCCTCTCGGAAGGAGCCGCCCCGGCCTTAGGGACTCCTGTGTCTCTTGTTGGGAACGAAAGTCTTTTAGCTGTTTAGGTGCTGTGTTGGGTGGGGAAGGTGTCACTGTTCGTCACCACTGGGGCTGTGGGGCAGCTGCTAGGTTGTGCCTCTGTCCCCTCCTTCCTCCAGTTACTTGTGCTTCGAAAGCTCCAAATCGGGGTCTTCAAAGAGGAACAAGGTCATCAAACTGATGGACATCACCGACATCCAGAAGGTGGGTGTGGCCCTGCTAACGTCCCCATCGCCCCTCTCTAGAAAAAAGATGCAGGATCAGCTGACCGGGAGGCACAAGGCCAGGGCCGGAGTCCTCCCGGCCTGCCTCTCGGGGTGGGCAGTGCTGACGCATGCCCCTCCTGGCACGGGCCCTGACGGTGAGCTCTGGGGCCTGCTCCCACGTGCAGAACCTTCGGGACCTGCCCCTCCCCCGGCCGCCCTCAAGCCAGCTGCTGGCGGTCCTGGGACTGGGTGGGACGGACCATTTACAGGTCTGGTTTGTCAGCCACAGCGTGAGGAGATGCTCACAGATCCGTATCCTCTGTGGCTGGGAAGGCCCAGGCCCTAGTGGGTCTTGCCGTCTGCGTGCCCCAGGCCTGCGGTGGGCTGGCTGCCACCCTGTCCCTGGGAGAGGCCTGTGGTGACAGCCATGTTGTTGTCTTTCAGTACAAGGTCCTGTCTGTCCTCCCGGGCTCAGGCATGGGGATCGCCGTGTCGACGCCATCGACCCAGAAAGTAAGTGCAAGCCGGGAGCCCCCGAGGGGCCGAGGTGGGCCCGAGGGTCCGGGGTTTCAGCTGGGGCAGTGGGGCCCGAGATGCACCTTCCTTTCCTCTGGGCGGCAGGATGCTCTGCCTCATCCAGTTTGGGTCAGAAATCTTAGCCCTTGTGGGGGCCACAGAGTTAGGGGCAGATGGCGAGTGTGGGGCGGGGGAGGGTGGACCCAGTTTGCTGACTCAGGGAAGGACAAGTTGACCCGGCAGCCCGGGGTCTCTGCTTCTTGCCTCAGTTTCTCTCAAGGCTGGGAGCCTGGCCCCTGGGTGGCAGGGGACGTCTGCTCTTCTGCACCCAGACTTCACGCACTGCAGGTTAACCTGGCCCCCCGGGTCGGGGGTGTCTCGGTCCTGGCGTCAGCCTGGCCATGCCGTGTTCACCGATGGCGTTTCCTCCCTGCCAGCCACTTGTGTTCGGGGCCATGGTGCACAGAGATGAGGCCTTCGAGACCATCTTCAGCCAGTACATGAAAATCACGTCCGCAGCAGCGTCCGGTGGTGACAGCTAGTATTGACTTTCCCGGGACATTGCTGGAATTTTTTTTTTTTAATAATTTGGTAGTGGAAAAAAATTGGACATTCTCATCTTTTGCAATAATTCTCCTCGACCTGTGGTTTTTATTGTGTTGACCCCTGCGTTTTATGGACCACGAAGGGCCGGGGCCCTGAGGACGGAGGGTGCCCTGCCCCGGCCGCGCCGATGGACACGGTGGATGCGGAGGGCGGAGGAGCCACGGGCCTGCCGGGAGGAGGCGGTGCCGGCCCCGCTCCCCACCTCAGCCCGGATGGAGAGACCGCGCCGGGCACCCGAGGGCCTCTCGTGACCCCACCTCCCTGCTCTCCAGAGGCCGGAAGCTTTTCCTCCACCAAAGCCATAGCTGAGGAGCGTTTGTGGTTAGTAAGGTGACAGCGAGGGTGTTGCGGAGGCCCCTTCGCCAGCCACCAAGAAATGGGCCTGTCACTCTTCCGCCTCCTCCCGCAAGCCCCGCCTGCTGGGGTTGCCCGCAGAGCGCTGGGGCCGGCGCTGCGTCCCTGGCCCATGCTGTGCCCGCCCTCCGTGGGAGCGTGCGGGCTGGTGGGAGGGGCCCATCTCCTGCCCCCGCAGAGCTGGGCGTGTTCGCTGGCACCGTCCTCTCGCCAGCCCCGCGGTGCCCCGGTCTAGCCCAGCACCTGCACGGCCGTCGGCCTGTCTTGGCCTCACACCGGCCGGGAGGTCCTCAGTTGGTGACCCGTGACGGTCCAGAGTGGTAAAAGCACATCTTTTTAACACCTTGCTCTTTGGAAAGGCCCCGGGGGACATCTATAAAGGGTTTTGGAGGTACCCGAGCTTCGCTGGCTCTCAGATGAAAATGAAGCACAGCCTGGCTGGCACTCGGCCCTCGGGCTGCTGGCACTGGAGTTGGGGGAGGAGGGCAGGTGCGTCCCAAACCCACGGTGGCCCTTGCTGCAGATGCCCTTCCTGTGTCAGGGAAGCTTGGAGGTCTTCTGCTTTAGGGAGCCACTGTGAGCAGAGCCCAGAGGCTCGGGGCCGGCGCCAGCCTGCACCCCTGGCGTCTGACGGGATTCCCTGCCCTGGCGCAGGGCAAGCCCGCTCCTTGGTCTGCCGCCCCAGGAAGCCCAAGCCTCCTGCGAACTAGGCTGGTGGCGAAGGCCGGAGGGAGCCTCTCTCAGGCCTGGCTTGTTCTGGGCCGTCTGTGGCGGGTCTGGAGTGAGGGGCAAGGCGGCCTGGCGCTCCGGGACAGGCCTGCGGCCTCGCAGATGCAGCCCCTGGTCTGCAGCCTCTGGGGCAGGTCACTCCAGTTCCTCCGGCTTGTCCCGAGTCTTTTGGGTGTTGTTGAGATTGTTTTTTGAAGAAACAGAAGATTATATTTTTTACAGAGAGCAAGCTGTTTTTCTTATTTTTATATCATTTTTCAGATGTAATTTTTACCTTTGCTCCGATCCTCATTTGCTGGTTTGGGTGAGAGATCTGGCGGCTCAATGACCCCCCTCGCAGGGCCGCAGGGTCACACGCCGGGGCCGGGGGCGCGGGGAGCCCTGCCGACCGGCCGGGTTAAGCACACTTCCCACCCCGACGGTGACGCCCCCGCCGCTCCCGGCTACACGAGGTCAGCGTCGCAGGTCACCGCACGGCAGCCTTTCGTAGGTGACTGCAGAACCCGCTCACCATGGCTGTGGCCCCTGCCTGGACCGGCTCTCTCAGGTGCGTGGGGCGGGGGGGGGGACAGTGCCCAGGGCAAGGCTGGGTCGGCCCTGACCTGTCCCCAGCAGTGGCTCGGGGTAACACCTGTGGGTGATGGTCACGCCTCTCTCTGGGCCCCTGGCAATGCCGAGGGGTGGATCCTGGGGACCTTGGGGTCAGCGGGTGCCGCTTAGGCGCGCTGGGATTCTGTCCCGAGCACAGTGAGGCGGGTGCCTGCGGCGGAGCGGGGCTGCTTCCGCCGAGTGGTGGGTGGTTTAGTTCGAGTCCCTTTTGAGGAGAAGGGAGATGAAAACTGACCACAAGCAGGTGTGGCCGCCGGGCTCCCGGCCAGGGTCCCGAGTGGCACAGTTGGTGGCGGCAGGTCCCCTGGGGAGGGCGCGGAGCAGAGCGCCAACTGCGCGGGCCCTGGACTCCCGGCGGGGAGAAGCTGCAGTTTCACTGATATCGTATAAATCTGGGCAGATGTTTAATTTCTATGACTAATCACTGAACTAGAATGAATGTTACATTTTTTACGTCTGAAGCCCGAGTCTATTTTCGATCTGTAAATAATCATTACCAGTGTGACTTTTGTTCAAAAAAAAGATTGTACTGTATGAAGAACCCATGAAAAAAAAATCCCTGTAACATTTTTTTAAGAAAACTTCGTTTGTTTAAAGAAGTCTTGTATAAATTATAATTTTTATTTAAATAAACCTAAAATGCTTTGTGCTAAGGCTTGGGGCTGTCTGCCTTCTTGGCAGGGCCACCTGCGTTGCGGGAGGCGGGAGCTGGGCCGCCAGCCCAGGCCCTCTGTGCCCCTGAGCCCCGCGGCTGGGGTGGCAGGGGTTCCAGGCACCGAGGTGGGGCCGAGGAGAGTCCACTGGGCTGGGGGTGTCGGCGGGAGCAGGAGGCTGGGCCAGGGCTCCAGGGACTGGGAGCCCAGAGACCCGACAGCACCTTGGGGTGGGGATGCAGGTCCCGGCCCCACCCTGCGGCATCCTGCCTGCCTCGGGGTCTGGGCAGAGGGGTCCCCAGCAACATTTGGGGCTTGGCCAGTCCCGACCCTGACACTGGACAAAGAAGGACACAAGAAACTGCCTGGCTCCTGAGGCCACTGAGTCGAGCACACACCTGTGCCAGATGTAGCCGACGGTGCCCAGGCCCCCCAGGGCCAGCCGGGTCCAGTGGGCCCACTCTATCCTGGGCAAGGCCTGGGGACGATGGACGTTTGTGTCCTCCATCAGTCCATCCGTGCATGGCAGGCGCTGTCCTGGGTGCTAGGAAATAACAGTGACAGGACAGAGGTCCCTGGGAGCCTCAGCCCCATCCCGTGCTGGGATAGCGCCTGTCCCCTCACCCACCCACCCCTGCCCTCTTTGTTGACGGTCCTCCCCCTACGCTTGTGGTTCTCCGCCATGCTGCCCGGGGCTCCGTCCTGCCTGGACTGTCCTTGGCCTGCATGGCTCCGCTGTCATCCTCCCCTGGCTTCCCGAGGCAGGGTGGCTGAGGAGGGCAGCTGGGGCCCGGGCAGGGGCTCTCCTGGGGGTTCCCAGGTGCTCACACCTCATGTGGCACAGTCGGGCTTACAGAAGGCCACCCACCCTCAGCCCATGGCCTCTTCGCTCAAAGAACTTGAGGGCTTGACAATGTGCCTGTTACACGTATATTTCATTCTTATTTCATGTCAGTGAAGAGGCCCACGTGTTGCCCCATCACTATTATAAACACTTTGGTAACTGCATTTCTGTCTGGTTAGCTTGCTTTGCAATCGTGTGTGTGTAATTTATGCATCTTATGACATCACTCCCGGGACAGCTTAGCTTGGCTTTTCCTGGCTCCCGGAGGGGGCTGCGGCACAGAGAAAAGGTCACGAACCGCAGCAGAGGTGCCCCTGTGGGACTTGGGACAGAAGCCATCACTGGCTGCAAATCAGGGTCACCCAGGGTGGGGGAGTCGGGATGGGGGGACAGGACCCCAGAGGGAAATGAAATTATTAATAGTGGTTTTGTTCTGGAACCTTCTTTGTTCTCGCCATATGTACTATGTATTTCTATAAACATAATGTCTAGTGAATGAGTTTAACGAACGGTGAGTAAATAAACGAGAAGGGCAGTGTCAGGAGCTCAGGATGTGGTTTGCTCTGTTCTCCGTGTAACTCCCACAGGCCAAGTGGCCGATGCGGGGCCATCGGCCGTGCGGGGGACTGGAGCGCGGCTCTGGCTGCCGAGGGGAAGTGACCAAAGACGGAGTCGCAGACAGAGGGAGCTGCCCGGCGCCGCCGAAATCTCCCCAGACACCCTGGAGCCAGGAAGCCCGGCCCCCCGGGGGCCCTGTCAGCAGGAAGGGGGACGTCCTGCTCACCTGGTGGGGCTGGAGCTGGCGGCACCTGGCGCTAAGCGGCCACTCCCTCAGGAGACAGGCCCTTCTGCTCGGTTTTGTCCTGGACGTCAAAACCATGGTGCAGGCGGGACACGGCTGGGATGTGTAAGAGGGTAAAGAAGAAACTCAACTAGTATTACTTGTAGATGGTATAATGATTACAGAAGACCGTCCAAATTTACAGGTGAATGATAACCTGTGAGCGTGAAAGTTGCTGGAACCGGAATGGAGTCATTTAGGTCAAACCCTAACGAGTCGGTGCTGGGAAGCCGGGAAGCGGCAGCCGTCATGCACACAGGCCTGTAGCAGGACCTGTCCCAAGCCAGTCCTGCATGCAGACCTGCCAGCGACAGGACTCCTCCCCAGAACCTTCCAGACAGTGTGGCTTTCCAGATAAACCGCTTGCACCAGGTGCTCACCTGTCTCCGCCAACGAGCGACGCCAGCGCCCCCGTGTGCCTCTGTGACCCAGGAGCTCTGTCTCAGCGCAGCTTACGGGGACTTCCTCTTTGCCCTTGAAAGTGTCCCCTTTGCCCTGACCCCACACACGCCCGGCCCCGTCGCGGCACGCACATCCCGACTGCGGTCCCCTTGCGCCCCCGAGTGAACTGTCTCTGGAGAGCTGTCTCTGTCGTCATTCTAGGTTGACAGGAGGCGAAGTTTCCAGGTACAGCCTCACACATGAAAACAATTGCATTTCTATGCAAAACAAAGAATTTTTTTAAAGATAGCCTCAAAATATGAAGTTCTTAAGAATAAATCTAAGCAAAATTAAAAGACTTTTATGGAAAGACTCTAAAATTATTGAAAGACGTTAATGAGGATCTAGAAAATGGAAATCACTGGAAAACTCATTTTCATGATGCAAATGTCTTCTCAGGACTCGTGCAGTGGAAGAAGTTGCAGAGAACGAGACACAGCACGTTCCCTTTGGATCAAGTGCAGAACCTGTGAAGATGAGCAACGTGCTGCCGTGGGGTGCGACCATCGGGAAAGGCGGGTGACACGTCCCACATGCCGTGACCTCCCGGGATGAGGCCGGGGAGATTCGGCGACAGGGCCACAGGAAGCTTTGGGGTGAAGTTCAGTTTCGGGGGCAAAGGTGGCAGTCACACCTTTGTTCGTTTTATTCTTGTTCTTTAGATTGTGCACGTGTGTTCTCATTAAAAATATTCTGCTTTGAAAATAACAGGAATTTGTAAAGGAAAGAAAAAGAGCCAAATCTGCCCAAGTAACTTTATTTTTGTCTTCTCAAACAGATCAGGTAATGCCATTTTCTAATCTTGAAACCAGCAAGATTAGAAGGAAAATTCAGCCACCCTCTCCCTCCGCATCTCCCAGTCGTGCAAGATCGTGTTCGGGGGCGCGACCAGCCGCCAACCAGAGGCGGGGGCCGCAGCGCTCTGGCGTCCTGGTTGGAATAATCGAGCCTCGGCGCCGGCGCTTGGCCGCTGCCCGGTTGTTTTGCGCCAGTGAGCCGCAAAGGAAGTTAAAACACAGACTAACGTCTAAGCGATCCCACGTTTTCACTGTCTAACCGTCACTTCTGATTTTTTTTTTCCCTTAAAACCCCAAAGCGTAGGCATCGTGGTTGCCACATCTAAAAGGCTTCCTGGTACCAGAACCTATTGCACAGGAACATCCGAGCGGTCACTTCCCATCCTGTGCGCGGATACCAAGAGGCTTTCAGGGGGTGTGAGACACGCACACGGCACCCAACCGCAGTCTCCAGGTTTGCCATTTGAATGTCAGCAGTAAGGACCACCAGCGCCATCTGGGAACCAGCCGTGTGCAATGGCCGGGTTTCTCGTTGAACACGAAACGCTTGCTCTTGGGCCGGGACCATTTTTCCAAGACTGACAGCGGAGCAGTGGATTTTAGGACGATGAGTGTACGGGAAACACTTACCAGGGACAATAAAGACTTTGAAGAATCTTTTGAGGAAACGTTGTGCTAAATCTTTAGCACAATTCTAGAGGCCGAGGGAAGCCCACGGCCTCCTCAGCAGCCCTCCTCCCGACCCACGCTCCTGGCACGACACGGGGCGCCCCAGGGCACTGCCAGCTGGGCACAGGCAGGCAGAGCTGCTGGCCTCATATCTTTGGTTTCTTCCCCACCAGGAACAAGCACTGATAGAAACAGCCGGGTATGTTTACTCTTTTTACCCAGATTTTTCATTCAACCATCAATTATTAAACCAGTCTGCTTGCACAATTATCTTTGATAACGGTCCATTAAAAAAACCACTGTTAAAGCTGCCTCTTGTCTGCCCTGGGTGGGGCTGGAGGATAAAACGAGGAGTTTCGTGTTACTTCAAAATATAAATCGGTGCAAGGGAATTCTGCCGACTGTTAAACGCTGAAACCGCTGATGGAAGCCGTGGACCATCCACGGACGGCATCGCAGGTCAGTCTGCAGTTGTGCTCTTGTAACTGTCCAGTGTTCCCCGCTCTACAAATCAAAGCTTCAGCTGCATATTGTTGCATTTCAAATAAAACTAAGTTACTCACATCCTATCCTAGACACAAGCAGAACTGCACACAAAGCCGGGGCGCAGCGGTGCGCTGGGGGCCGGGTCCGAGCAGGAACGCCTTCCGGGAGGAACCCCGTGGTCACGGGAGCCCCAGCGCCTCAGCAAAAAATGAAAGCTCCATCACGGTTAAGAGACAGAATACCAACGGTGAAGACACCACTTACGCTATTCTGGTTTAAAAGGACAAAATGTTCAATAAATACATAGAGCCCACGACGAAGAACAGAATGAATCCGGACCATGTGTGTAGATGTCAGGGCCCTGCACCACAGGAATCCTGCTGGAACCCGGAACGGCCCCGCCACCGCGTGCCAGCTTCCGTGTCCCCCATAAAGCCCCGCTGCGTCTTGCACTGTGTGTCGCTAGAGAGCATCGGCATTTTATGTTTTAAAACAGTAAAAAAGCTTGCAAGTGCTTCACACGCTGCCTGTTTCCAGGGTTCCTGATCCGTTTGCCGAGCGGGCGCCGAGTCCGTGCTCCCAGTTGCTTTGTCCCAGAAACAGCCGGATGGGGCTGGGCGCAAGCTCTGGAGACCACGCATCTCGTGCCAGCGTCCTCCTGTGCACGCGACGGTCTGACTCCCGCAGCGTCGCTACCGCAGGACTGCGTTGCGCTGTCGCTGCCAGTACGGCAGCATCCTGTCACAACGTGAGACAAAGGCGGATGAGGGCAAAGAGAACCCGCCGCTTTCGGGAACTTGGCCACACGCAGTTACGGAGTAGTCTTGCCAAGCGGGTCAGAGAGACCCAGTGGCCACCTCATGCCCAGATAGTGTGACCTTCATGGAAAGCACTCATAATGTCCCTAAAATTATTGCAATTGAGCCACTAATGGGCCATTTTTAAAACTACACTGTTATTGTCGAAATCTAAGAAGCCAATGCCCCCAAATCAACAGGAAGAACGTGCTGAGAATGGGCCATGTGAGAGGCAACCCACAGATGCACACACAACTTAAAATGCCAAGTGTGTACAAGAAATTGTTGACAAAAAAGTACTTTTTCTAAAATCAAGATTTAACTATCAAAAATAAATTTCTAAAATTTAAATGTATATATCAACATAATTGGTCTGTAGTAAATTTCTTAAATAACTTTCACACTTCCCAAGCGCGAGGTGGATGGTGTGTAAGGACGTCTCAGCTGTGCGGTGCTTGCTTAGGGTTCTCCTCGATCCCTCGCGCAAAGAGTCGAACCAGCTGGCAGTGGACCCTGCGGAGACAAACCGCCACAGTTAAGCCCTGCGTGCGTCCCCGTCACAGCTGGCCTCGGGCGCACGCCGGGACCACGGCGTGTCGGGCGTCACCGCAGAGACCGACGTCCTGAAGGGAAGCTGCCAGCCAAGCGGGAGATCCAGGGCACCCGCAGCCCGGTTCTGGTTCCAATGCCCGCCTGATGGCCCGTGGGCCCCCACCCACCTCAGTCTCCCCCATCAGCACCGCGCTCACAGGGCCCTGGGGGGAGCGGGTCGGAGGTCCTGGGGCCCGTGCCCGGGCCGGGCAGTCAGAGTGGGCTCCGGGGTCGGCGCCGCCTTCGCACACGGGACAGCCCCGTTTACGCCACTCGTTAACAAGATCACAGCCCCCTCAGACACATTTCAGTCATCAAAGCCCTGTAATTGGGTGACATGCTGGTCAAAGTACAGTAATATTTATCAAGACATATAGAGTGTTTTTCCTAATTTTCAAAGCATTCTATTTACTTAATAAATACATAAGCTGGTATTAAAAATAATGCCATTACCAGAGTTTGTAAAATGAGTCGATAGACGCCAAGTCCCTGAGCACACAGTGACTGGCCTGGTGGGTTTTCCTGGGACCTTCTCATCCGCCCGTCACTGCCACCCTGACCGGAAGAGCAGGGACCTGGGCCTGGGGGGACTGAAGTCCCCCCGCCACCCCATCAGCTTGGTCTGGACGCTGATGGGAGAAGCTTCTCGGAGCTGCACCTGGGCCTGCAGCTGGCTGGAGTCACTCAAGGTGGGGGGCCGGGAGCAGCGACGTGTGCGGCATCTTAAAGGCTGTTGCCGGGAACATGGCCCGTCTTGAGCGCCGTGGACGTGGGGGCCTGCCGCCGGCTTTGCTCGGTTTCCTCGCACAATCACACTCTGCTAACTAATGTCCGGTTTGCTTTCCTTAAAGTAGACCACGATCTTAAAGACATTTGCAAGCAGTATAGCTCCTTCTAGAATTTTACAGTTCTCCCCCAATCTCATGTAATTTGCACATCTGTATCTAATTCAATAGCGTTTTTATAAAACAACTTGGTTTTTAATGTTGTAATAAAAACTGTTTTACTGTTGTTAACTTTCCACGGGGAAAGAATTTTCTTTGTCCCCGTATTCTGTCTGGTTATGTAGCACATTTAATGAGGTCATAGATTCCCAATACCGAATAGGACGGGCCCGGTGGGTGTGGGCAGGACACCGCTTCCCACACTTGGCCCGGCTGGCTGGAGCGGGGGGCGCCTGCCCCCAGGGAGGCCGTGAGCCTGGTCACTGGGCGCTTGGGCTCCGTCAGTGCGTCCCCAGAGGCGACACGCTCTGATTCTTGGCGTCGACCCAGCGAGCTTGGCTAACGGGCTGAACAGCCCAGGCCCTCTGGGCTCCAGGGGACCATCGGACCAGCCTCGAGGCTCTGCCTTCTCCCGTGTGCGTCCCTGCCTGGCCACGCCGACTGCCCAGGTCCCCCAGGCTGCGCGGCCTCCGCACACAGCTTCCCTCTGTGGCTCCTCCCGCCCTTCCTCCCTCCAGCCTCAGCATCGCCCCCGCCCCGCCCCCTCTGCACTGAGCTGGCACTTGGCAGTGGCCCCTCAGGCCGAACGTCTCCTGGTGGATTCAGGGACCAAGGGCTCAGGAAGTGCCTGTAAAGGTGGTTTCATCTGTTTGTCATTTTAATTACCCCGTAGCAGAGAGAGAGAGCGCCGGGGCACGGGGCTGCCGCCAGCCTGGGTGTGGGGTGCGGAAAAGAAGAAAACAGAGGGCGCAACACCCGCGGGAACTGATCTGCAGGACCAAATGCACGAGCTCAACGCCCTCGCACCTTTGCAAACTCAGATAATGGGCTCTCGCTCGACGCCTGACACGTGGAAAGAGAAGTGCGTTTACGGCGCACTCTCATTCTGGGTTACGGAGTCCCGGGGGTGCGCGGGGATTGCGCCCGAGGCACGCACCTGACCTCGATGGCCGCGCTGTGCAGCACCTCCCCGTCGCAGTTCCAGGAGCTGCTGGACACTGGGCAGCAGCAGGAGGGGTGTTCGCTGCAGATCTGCCCGAAACGCTTCTTGCCCTGCTCCTTGAGGTCACTGTCCTCGTCCTCCCCATGCTTCGATGTGAACTGGAACTTCTTGACACGATAAACTTCAACGAAGGTGAAGTCGAACTACCGGGAGACAGTGAAAGGGAAAACGGAGCTCTTACCCTCGTGTGGGCGGTGGACCGCCCGGTGCAGCGGCGAGGCCTCCTGTTCCTCTGTGCGCTCGGTGCCCTTCCCGGGGGTCGCAGCCACTCAGGCGGGGCCCCGGGCTCCCCTGCCAGCTGATCTGACTACGTAGCGACGAAGGGAAACATGGCACCTGTCAAGGCGACTCTTGATACTTTTACAAGTCACAGCTCATCTACAGTGATGAACACTTTTAAAAGAATTCTGCTAGTTCATTAGCAGTGATCTGTAGAATTTTCTATGTTCTTTAAACAAGCACTATGTAAAAAACCACATAAAAATAGGGGTGGACCAAATCTTAAATACAATTTTTACTAAAATTAGAGACTGTGACCAAAGTCTCAGTTCTCCTAACACCCGCTAGCAGACTCGGGTGTCTCCCTGCGGAGCTGCAGAAGGGTCTGGGGGAGGGTCCGACAGGCCCCTTTCTGGGAGCCTAAAGATTTTACTTTAAGTGACCTGTAAGGGCAGCAAAAACCCTTTCCTTATCACTTTGTTCTGTTTTTAAATGGGAAGAGAAATGACAGGAAGTTGTACATAAGCATTCATGCCTTAGTTTCTGTGTGCTCAAGGGTTTGTATTTGTAAATGAAATTTTACAAGGAGTACTTGTAACTAGGAGTTTAAAAGCAGCAAAACGCAAACAAAAACGTATGCCCTTCCTTCCTGTCAGTTAAATATTCCTATAGTATATAAATCGGGGTTTGCCTAAAAATAAATTCCTCACCAACACAGGTCACGTGCAAATGGTGCTCCACCCACCTGGTCCCACTGGTTGGTGTGCCGGACGAGGAATCGCAGAAAATTGAACCTGGAGCACTTCCGGATGAGGATGAGGTCGCAAGACCCGTCTCCCAAGTGGGCAGCCGGGGAGAGGCCCCTGGGGCTCCGGCGACAAGCACAGGACATGTTTGTGGCGTTGATGGCCAGAAACTTCCCACAGATGACCTGCCACTCTTCCACCTCCTCTGCAGCAGAGAGAACCGTGCGGGTGCTACGGTCGGCGGGGCACAGGGACGGGCACCCCACGGTGAGACGGCGGGGGGGGGGGGTCCCTGCGCTCCCGCTGGTGTGGACGCTCCTGCTTTCACTGTGGCCAGACGTTTAATACAAACTCGCCGTTCAGTCGACTCTCTGGCATTAACACCAAAAATCCCACTGGGTGACTGTCCACTCGCCTCGGGAGGCTGCACACTGAGTGCGGGACCCAGAGGGTTTTCACTGCTCCTCACGGGGGGACTTTTGGACAGTGATTTAGAACAGGGGTCAGCAAAGTACAGCCAGGGACTCAATCCAGCTGTCTGCTTTGTACGGACTCCGAGCAAAGGATGGTTTTCCCATTTTTAAATAGTAGAAAAAAATCAGAATAATATCTTGTGATATGTGAAAAGGATATGAAACTCAAATCTCAGTGCCCGTAAATGAAGCGCACTGGCAGACGGCCACGCCCATTCACTGACACGGGGTCCACGGCCGCCTTCGCCGCAGCGCAGGCGTGAGTGGGGTGACAGAGCGTGAGCTGTCCGGCGCCAAGCCCCAGCAGAACGTTCGCTAACCCTGCGTTCTAGAGCACGCGGGGACAGGAGCCCTGGCCTGGGCCTACGGCAGCAACTCACAGGAAGACGGCAGTGGGCCTTGCCACAAAACCTGCTGTTCCCCAAATCTGGCAAACGGCAGTGATTTGTCGCCGCCTGGAGCTAAAGAGATCGCGGACGCGCAGCGCGACAGGGGAAGAGGAAGGGGACAGACGCGCGGTGAGACAGGCGACGTGAGGAAAGACGACAAAACCAACACTCTAACACACGGTCGTGGCACCGAGTCTGTTTCACGGAATTACCAGCGTTTTCCAAACCGTAGAGAGCCTTCTTCTGCTCCTCCTGCAGCTGCTGCCTGCTCTGCCTGCAAACGAAGCACCTGCAAGACAAGAGCGGCATCGCCTGTCCTTTAACACGTGCGTCCAACGACGCGGTGCACGTGCTCGGCACGCAGGCAAGTAATTAAACTCTGCTCATGTTATAAAAAGTTCAGTTTCAAAGGCTTAACTAAAAACACTTCTTTTGCATGCTAATTTGAGTTCTCAAAATTAGATTTACTTTTAAAATTTAACATATCAGCATGTCCTGCTCTAAAATGTATAAACATTATAGAAAGCGCGACATGAGGACATTTGAGTTACACCTAGAGCTGGTTTTTGCCTGGCCCTGCAGCTAGCGCAGCACAGGCTGGCAGGAAATGATTGAGGTACAGGTTCACCGGTGGATCCCGGGGGCGACGGGTGATTTATGTTCAGGTAACAAGTGACAAAATGGGTATTTGTTGTAGTCAATGATAAGGAAACAAATAACTCAGAGCAGTTAACTCAGAACTTAGTCAGGAGTCTGGAATGTATCTGTGGTCTTGGGTACCACTAGGCCCACACGGTCAGACAGGACAGGGTTTACACCTGCGAAATTCGCGCATCAGTAATTGCGTTTAGCCACACCACGCCTGACACGGCACCCGCCGCTTTCCGGTCTCAAATGCTTCAGTTCAAAAAGCGAAGGACCTGGAGGAAGGTAGCTCCTCGGTCTGGGCGAGGCAAGAAGGAAGGACAGAGTGAGCGTCCTTCGCAAAGCCACACGCGTCTCCACGTGTCCGTGCACCGACACCAAGGCAGAGCAGGGACGAGCTGCTCGTCAGGGAGACTCCACCGTCGCCAAAGAGGCCACACGGCCTGGGACGACTGGTTTTCAGATTTGTCAAGGTCCTGTTTCCGACTGGTCAGACGGTGCTGCTTGCGCTGTGGCCTGAGGAACGCTCTGGGCTAACAGGAACTGCTGCTTGTTAATTCGCATTAAAACGTGCTGCAGAGTGCGGTGGCCGGGGCAGTGTAACAGAAACATCAGGCTTTCTCAGCTGCCGTTGACACTCAACCCCTGCCCTGGGGGCTGCCCTCTCCTCTCTGCGTCCCCTCCCCCTGGGCAGTAGCCCTGGCTCTGCCCTCTCGGCCCCTGCACTCGGGCCCACCCGCCCTCTTACGTGGCAGAGCACGTGCAGGCAAGCCCCGCTCCCACGGCCGGTGTGGCACCGCCCCTCAGTCCTCACCCGTGGCACAGGACGCGGCTGCCCGTGCGTGCCACGGGGACGAAACAGCGACACAGCTCTCTTCCCAGCGCTGTGAGTCACAGACCTATGTCGTCCTGTCGCTGGGCATGCTAAACCCAGCACCTTCCACCCACACCCGGAAAACACTTCTGCATAAACCCCGCTTTATTTGCCGTCACTTGCGATCGAAACGCACGTAGAAATGCACTTACCCGGCTCGGCAGGGCTTCCCGTCCCTCGGAGACCCCACTGTGTGCTGTGCAGGCAGGAAAGACACCGTCCCTTCGTAGCAGTGATGGGAGAGGAAGGTCTTTATGCCTGCGGACAGTGCAGCACAGGAAACACACGCACACTCATCACTTGGTCACGGCACGTGGTGATTAGCTTCAGAAGCACCAGCGAGAGCAGTTCTGGCTGCACGTCAGAGGGACGGCACGGGGACTGTGACCGCCACCAAAGGGCAGCTCAGGGCCTCTGCCCTCCCCGGGACGGCAGTACGTCCGGCCACAGCGCCAGCCCCTCTGAGACCAGTGGTGGCGGGAGCAGTCAGGGATCTGCCGTGCTGGGTCGCTGCCACCTTCCCCACTAGCAGAGCAGAGGTCTTAGCCATCAGGGAGCCCGTGTGGCCTCGAGGGGGCCTGGGTGCGCCAGTGGCTCAGGGTCGTCACCTCCACCCTTTGAGATGGCCAGCGATGTCCCGCCTCTGCCAGGGTCACCCACGACAACTGTGGTGTCCTGGGAGAGCTCTCAACAAAGGCCAGGGCAGCGCTGCCACCCAGAGACAGTGGAGGCCCCGCGTGTGCCGTCCATGGTGTGGCCTGTGTGCCCAGCACGCCAGGGCTGGACAAAGCCACCCTGCACTGGCCCGGTGTGAGTCTGACTGGCTGGCTGGGGAACGGCGCTGAGCGGGCAGCAGGGAGTGGCCTGGGGGCCACACAGGGAACCAGGCCGTGTTCTGTGAGCCTCAGGGGGACGCCACTCCTCCGTGTTCGATGCTGGGCTGGTGCCGTGTGGCAGTGACGGCCCACAGGGAGCCGGCCCACGCCTCACCCCGCACTGAGGCTCCACCCTCGACACAGCCTCACCTGCAGGGGACGAGCCCTCAGCCAGGTGTGCACAGCCCAGCGGAGGAAGCCCCCACAGGAGGCCCAGCCTCCCCAGACCTCAGCGCCCGGCCGCCCCCGCCAGCCCCTTCCCCTCGTCTAGCACCTGGCTCAGGAAACACCCGGTACGTGGACGGGCAGCTTCCGCGCAGCCCTCCTGTTGTCCCCCCCTTCCTGCCCCTCCAGGCTGCGCCGCGCTCCCGGCAGCAGGCTCCTCCCCTGGGGGTCTCACGAGGAGGCCCAGTGTCCTGGGCCCCGGGTCCTCGCTCAGTGCAGGGGGAGTCGTCGGCCTCTCACAGGCTGCGGGAGGGACGGCTGCCTCATCTCCCAGGGCGGCCTCCAGCGGGGGCCCTCACCAGTCGCCATGGCCCTGCTCCTGCCCGCTGCCGACAGGGCCCTGCCACCGGATGCCCTGCTGGCACCTAAAGCTCCACGTGTCTCGCGCAGAGTGGACGGTGCCGCACCTCGTTCTCCTTCACGCACGCTGCCCCAGAATGGCAGGATGCTTTCCACCCACAGCAACCAAGCCAAGCCACGTTCTGGGGGCGTCTCAGCACGTGGCCGGGGGCAGGGGGAAGCCCAGGAAACCACTCCTGCCTCGGGGCTCCTGTCCTGGGAGGCACAGAGCTGCAGCAGCCACGCAAAGGCCCCGGGCCAAGGAGCGGAGGGCGGGCGTGCCGCGGGGCCACGCCTGGCTCGACAGGGGTGATCAGGAAATGGCCCAAATTAACCGTCATGCTAACCCTCCATGGCTTTTCTGAGTTTCTCAGTATTCCTTTTCTTGACTAAGGTTTGGGTAAATATCTAACCGGCATTTCTTGTATTTTAATTTTGAAGCCACACCACATTACACTTTTTAATTTAATTAGATCTTTGCAGGCCACATAAAGTGTACCAAGTTGCTAATCCTTTCTCTCATAAGAAAAGGGTTAGATTTTGGTATCTGGAATTACTCACTTTGATTTAACATAGATTTTCCCAAAGCAAACAGGGAAGGGCGGGGACCAGGCAAATGACATTCACTAAGCAGAGCGAGGACGTCCACCTGGACCGCAGGAACGTCAAACCTGGAGCGCCGTGGCCGTTCCGGGTTCTGCTTTCTCTGCGTTTAGGGGCTGACGAGGAGATGCTGCGCCCTCTCCCCGAGACCGCAGGCTGCGACCTCCCTGCATAACCTGGAGCTGACTTTCCTCCAGCTCTGAGCTCTAGTGCCAGGAGCACCACAGCCTGTCCCCTGCCCCCACCAGCATCCAGGCAGCGTGGTAGACGCGCACGCCCAGGCCCACCCGGCCCTGCCACGCTGGGGGGTCTGGGGGCCAGCCCCCCACCACGGTCTGAGGCTCGAGGAAGGGCGGCACGGGACCGGGCAGACTGTGCCCGTCTCCTCAGCTAGGAAGCAGGGCAGGAGCACCTGCCGGGTGGCGCGGGTGCTGTGGCATTCGCCGGCACTCGTCCTGCCCCACGCCGGGGGCAGGCAGGATCTTGCCCGTCCTGTCCACAGACACGTCCCTGGTGTGGGGAGCGAGGCCTGGCGCAGAGCAGGTGATCGACAGGTGCGTGTGGGTGAGCGATGGCTACTGCGCAGACTCCACACGGCAGAGCGCGTTTGTAGAATGGAACGAAGGGCGTTTGTGCCCGGAGCACTGGGCCGGCTCCGGCGCGGACATCTAAGGCTGAATTGCTTCACAGAGAAAGTTCTTGCCATTTGACTAATAAGTGCAGGGTGATTATAAAACTAACTTCTCCTGATTAAAATTTCCACTTGAACCGTCTGAGATGGCTGGCCATCGTGCACCTAGCACACGTGAAAACCCGTCGCCCGATTTCCCAGGCTTTCCGTCAATCATGACTCTGAGCCGTGCTGTCACCCGAGTCCGCCACGTCTACCCGTGCTGGGGCCCAGGGAGCAGGACCCAGATCACAGCCCAGCCCTCCCCACGCCCGGCCACAGGAGACCCTGCAGGGCCTGAGGTTCCCCATCTGTGAATGGGGCCACCCCGACAGCGCTTTGTGGCTGCGTTGGACGAGGCTCGTGGAGGCTGTCAGCGTGCGCCTCGCACGCACGGCGCATCTGCCCTGCCCATCGCCCCGTGTCACCTGAAAAGTCGTATCTGACGAGACCCATCCATCGCTTTTTCTCGCTGTCTCTGATAATGTCCCCATAGAAGCCATAGCCCAGCAGGGACACCGAGTAGCGCAGCAGCGTGCCGTGGTGGTGCACGGAGGAGACGTCCATGGCCAGCGAGTCCCCTGCGGGGAGAAGCCCCTGTGAGGAGACCCCAACCCCGACTGGGCTCCCGTCCCTGTCCCCAGGCCTGGTAGACAGCGCAGCCGCTTGGTTCAAAGGACACGGACAGGACACACTCAGCGCCGTGACCCTTGCTCTTGGGGGTGCCGGCACCCATGTCTCTGATTCAAATGACAGAATTTGACTCAAATTCCCAAAAGCAGGCTTGGGAAGCTGTTCTGTGGGGACAGAACAAGGTGTGTCCGTGGGGCTCGTGAAACGTCATCGATTGAAGGAAGGAGGATTCGAGAATGAAGAAAAGGTCGTAAGTGGCTATTTTTAAACATGCAATCTTTGTGACATCAGGAAAGACGCAGTACCCCTGTAAACTGGGACAAGGCATGGGGGGCTCAGCATGTGTCATGCAGGTGCCGGACGAGCTCTGGGCCCCTCCTCGCCTTCTGACCCAGGCTCGCAGCAGGCACCTGAGGTGTCCGCCAGCCCCCGGGCAGCTCACAAGGAGCGGAGAGTCAACCACGGTCCCCCAGGCACAGCCTAGACCCCACAGGCGCCACAGCAGGGGACATGGGCAGCTTCCTGCCCTCAGGGACAGCGGGTCTCAGGGGTCAGTGTGGGGGGGTAAAGGTGAAATGAGTGAGACTATCGCAGAAGCGATGGATTCTGTGCAGAAAATAACTCGAGCCCTAGGACCGAGTGTGCCCCGGGGGCCGGGGCCCGGGAAGCCCGTACTGACCTGGCGGCCTCAGAGTGGGCTCCGCGTGAAGACCAGAGGCGGTGAGCAGAGCCCCAGACAGAGCGTGGTGTGCGTTCCAGGACAGAAAGGCCACTGGCCAGAGCTCAGACCACAGTGGGAGGCCCTGCCAGTCACCCCAGGGCTCTGGGCAGGGGTGTGGCGTGAGGGGCTTATAGATCTAAAAGACCCCTGTGATGAGATGGGGGGTGGGTGAGGGGAGCTGCCGCACAGCCGAGGGCTGAGGGAGCGGGGGCTACCTGGGGGCCCCTGGGCGCCACTGTGGCGTGCAGGCCCGAGGAAGGGACTCACCAACCACGATGTGCAGAGCCGACGTCTCTGCGTCGCTGGTGCCCACCGTGGAATAGCACACGCAGTCTGTCGACCCTGTGCCGGGGAAAACGAGGTCCCGAATATCGTTACAACGGTTCGGAACTGCAGCAGGCTTCCGGCTGAGCGGTGGCACCCTATCCCTTTTCTTCCGTGGCCCCGGAGTAAACAGAAGGAATAAATGGAATTTACCTACAAAATGCTTCTTGAAAATATTAAGATTGATTCATCAGAACGGTCGAGATTGGTCTTGCAGTAACACCAAGCAGCCCCTTACACAGCCGCCCGCGACACGCCCGCCAGCACAGAGGCCGCTCCCGCGCCTGTCTGCGAGGGGAGCCCCAGAGAAACCTCTGCTACGATGGCGGTGGCTTCCCGCCCTCGCCACGGGACAGCGGCACCTCGTGACAAGACCACGACAGCGAAAGGATCCGCACAGGGCGTCCTGGGCAGGGAAGTGCGCACAGAGCAAGGTCAACTGTGAAGGTCACAGGAAAAACACCAAAGCGGCTTTCACACCAAGACACAAGTTTTAACAACATCGCTGTAGTTCGAGGAAACGCAGGCTGACCCTCCACGCCGCACCCACTGACCACGGTGAGCACGCGCCCGACCATCCGTACGGGGTGACGGCAGCGTGGCCTCAGAGTGCCGCGGAGGAGAGCGGCTCAGGGCAGTGCCACACCAGACAGGGTCCCTGGCACGGCAGCGAGGCTGCTGTCCTCCTCCCGTCCGTCCTGTTCTAACTGGGTCATAATCGAGGTCACAGTTCTCACCCCTGAGTGGGCAGGAAATCTCCGTCGAGGATGGCAGTGAGGGCGCCTGGGCCGAGACAGCGGGAGACACACCCTTGACTCAGGGCGCATGTGGCCTTAGGGAGACTCAGCGCCACGGCCACCAACTTTGGGTGTCTGGGTCATTCGAAGAATCAGAACTCCACTCAAACCAGTGCCAGCCAGCAAAACAAAACGAGTGGCGACCTCTGCACCCTCCAGGGACGGGGACCCTGGAGCGCGACGGTGCGTGAATGTAGACCGTGCAGGCCACCCGCGGACAACTGTGCTCAGTCAGGTCAACAACCGTCTGGGAGGGTGTTCCTGTGCCAGGGCTGGGCATACGACCAGGGACACGTGAGTGAAAGCCCAACTCCCCAGCCGGGGGCAGACACCAGACAGGGCCCAGGGCCCCTCCCGACAGCTCTTCTGCCCGCAGCCTCAGAAGGGAAGAAATCCGATCACAGGCTCTGCTGAGACCCAACGGGACATTTTTATAAGCGTGCGGCCTAACTGTAAGGGTCTGTTATCACAGGGGTGCCGAGAAGCCTCCCCTCTGTTGACTCGGCTGAGGAACTGTTGCTTCCCTTGGCTCCTCCATGGGGCCATTCCCACCGGACGGGACTGGTTCCCGGTGAGCCGCAGCTTCCTTCATGACTCGACAGGAGATGAAGTTCCTCTCTACGAGTAACTCTTTCATCGACACTGTCCCCAAAAGCTGAGGGGAAGGGGTCCTAGACAGATGACCATCCTTCAACATACCATGAAAACCATGACCTCTGTCAACTTCTTGCTGATAGTTACCAGTGATCTGCAAGCTATTACGCAACACAAGTCCCCCTCAAAATGAGTCTTTATGCTGAAAACGCCTATCATGCCACTCTCCGAGGGGACAAGCTAACCCTGCCCCAGTATGCACAGGAGCTGTCACTAAATGCGGAGTAATGTTAAGCTGAAAGGGTGATTCCCTCAAGCAAACACTAACCCGCAACGGCACCGGTCGGAGACAGGCTGGGGTAGAGAAGAGCGGCGCTGGGTGATTACGGCTGTCGTGAGAACGAAATGGCACGCAGTGCACGGTGGAGCCCGCGACCCCGCCTGCTGCAGTGGCTGCTGCTACTGAGCGGCCGGACACAGGGCGCGAGAGGATGGAGGTGCCTCTTCCCCGCGAGGTTGTCTGCAAAGCCCTGAACCAACCACGCACAGGCCCTCACCTTGACTTAGCTTAACACTGTGGTTTTTTGAAGGGCAAGGTGCTTCCTAAAGAGATGCTAAGTACCCCAAGCCAAACCAGCACCTTCGGGACACAGCCCAGCTCCCCACGCGGTGGGCAAGGCCCTGCCCTGGGGCCCGCCCCGCCTTCCCTCTCCATCCCTCCCGTCACCCGTCCTGTGCGTGGATTCCTTCTGCCCCGCCGCCCCTCTCCCCCAGGTCCTTCGGGTCAGCCAGAAGCTGCTCCCTCCAGAAACCGCCCTGCGACCCTGCTCGCCCGCTCCCGGGCACTAGGGACCCCCTCGCTCCGGGAAGGCAGCCTCCCACGCCCACCTGCCGCCCATCGGTCAGGTCTTTGGGAGACCCTCAGCGCTGGCTGCCAGCGCCTTCCGCGAAGGAGGCCCCCGCGGAGCAGGACGGCGGCCCCTCAAGTGCTCGTTTCATTGCTCGTCAACTACCCCTCAGAAGCATGCGACAGTTGTAAATTGTGATCAAATCACAACTTACATAAGGAAATGGACTTGAGGGAAAAATCAAGGATGCTTTTTCCCCCAAAGCGGCCCTAATGATAGGAGTCTGCGCCAGGTAAAGCGAGGGCATCAGACCGTTAGCTGTCCCTGCTGGCCGCTCACAGAGCTACTCCCAGGGCGGGGGCGGAGAGCGGCCGCCGGGCTCCGTACCTGCGGGGATGATGCCGATGCGGAGGCTGCTGGGCACCAGCACGGCCCTCGGGTGGTTCTGGTCCACGCCGGCGCTCCTCTGCGTTCTGCCCACCAGGCCGTGCAGCACTTCGCTGAACATGCCGTCGCCGCCGACACACACGATGCTGCAGGGAGGGACACGGCGTCGTTAGGGTCCCTTCCCGCGCGGTGCCCGGAACACAGCAGGCCCGAGGCTCCGGCACAGCTGGCAGGTGTGGCCCTCGGCAGGTGTCACGGAACTTGGCCTTTGCCACGTGCCTCAGTGATAAGGTTGTGCCCCCGTGCCCGTCTGCCTGGACTGCTCGTACAAGCAATGGGACCTGCGCCAAACACCGGCTTTCCTTCTGGGAGTCTGGAATTTTGGTGGCTGCCAGGCAGAGAGCCCCACATGACAGGCCTCCGCCAAAAGCCCAAACTCTGGGCCTCAAGACTCAAGTTTGCAGGGCAGAGGCCCCAGACCTGTGTGGCCGCACGTGCCAGAAAGAGGGTGCAGCCTGCATGACTCGCAGCAGGGCAGAGGGCACAGGAAGCCTGTCCCCCGGGCGTCCTCCCTTACTCCCCGCACTGCGTCATGGGAATAAACCTTAGCTGGGGCACAACTACACACTCCTGCAGCCGTGTGGGTGGTCTTGGGGACCCGGAAAACAGGAGCAGAGGGGACCAAACACACGCTGGAGGGAATGGGTTCACGAGAAAAGGTAGGGAGAGGAAGTGGAGACAGGGACTGTGGCTGGGAGGTGGCAGTGGGGTCGACCCATGGGGGAACAGCACCAAGGTGAGGGAACGGAGAGGTGTGCACACGCGTGGGACGGATGTGTTACTGCGTCACAGAGTGGGGCAAGGGACAGGTCTCAAGCTCACTGGACAACCTCATGGCCTATGGCGACCCGAGAGCTCCATCACCAGGGAGGTGGGCACGCTCCGCACGGCTGGGAGGAGAGGCGGGGGGATGGGGGTGGGAAGAGAGGAGCCAGAAGGGCAGTCCATGGCGGGGCAGCACCAGGGGCCCCTTTAGGTCTGAGTGGGAGCGGTCAGAGTGCCCGGCTGTTCTCCAGTGGGTCCGGCTGCCCACAAGCCGCCTCGTGGGGCACGTGCTTTCAAGCACAGCTCCTGTGTGCAGGCCCTGCCGCCTCCCCACGTAACCCGCACGCTGTGCCGGGATCGCCTTCCCCACCTGGGCTATGGTTTCGATGCCACGGCTCGGGCACCTTAGGATGTTCAACACAACACCCGCCACCCTGAGGCGGGCACTCGGTAAACGTTCTCGTGTCACTCGGATAAACGACCGAGCTGCGGAAGGAACGGCCCTCACTGCCAGGCCCCCCCGGCCTCCTGCCAGGCACGTGGCCGGGAAAGGCGTGTGCCCAGGAGGCTGGGTGAGGTCACGTACCCGAGCCCCAGCTCCGTCCCCAGTGGCAAGTGAAGATTCTGTGATTTTCCTGACCAGGCTGCCGTCGGGGGAGTTGGAGGTGAAGCGCGTGGAGGGGCGCTGCCTGCTCCGGGAGCTCCTGGACGCCCCGCACGCAGGGGAGGGGAGGAGGGCGCTTCTCCCTGTCAGCACAGGGGCAGGGGCCAGTCTGACTTCCCTGTCCAACCTCAGCACCGACACAGGGATGGGGCTTGGCAGACACTCAGCAGGGTTTGCGGAATGAGTAAGGATTTCGAGAAATAGTCACACTGTAATTTATAACACATGCTCACAAGACTCCAGATGGAACAGAGAGAAGAAAACAAAAAGCGATTAACTACAGGGGAATATTTAAACTCAAGAGGAAGGATGACTTACTAACCTGAGCACATGACTTGGAAAACTTCCACTGTCCCAAAAAACGCCATAGGCAAAATTAAAAGACCATTTCAAAACTTGGACAAATATTTCGAAAAAAATCTAACAATGAATATGAATTGCCTATTATTTGTTGGATAAAAGAACAAATGACTACAATTATGGCCAACAGAAGAAAACGGGCCAAAGACATAAAAATCAATTCAAAGAAGAAAACTAGTTAGCTAATAAACACATTGCTTAAAAGATTAAAGACTTTTACATGTCAGATTAGCAGAGAATTTGTATAGTCATAATAGCAAATACGTTGACCAGGACCGTGGATAATACACTACAAGAAGGAATGTAAATTAATGGAATCTTTTTAGAAAGCGACATGGCAGCACGTAGCGGAAACGTTAAAATGCTAATCACCTATGACCAATTAATGCCATTTCTACAAATTTACCTTCAAAAAAGTGTAGATGTGTCAGATTTATATACAAGAATTCTAGTTTATTGTAAGAGCAAAAATTGGAAAGAACCTAACCATCTACCAGTGAGAGACTAGTTAAATAAATTATGGTATATTCATATAATAAAACATGATACAGGTACTAAAAATAATATTTTGGGAGAATCTTTAATGACATGGGAAATTGCTCACAATGTAAGAGAAAAGCAGAATCCCAAACTGTAAAAATGGCATCACTCCAACTTTACTCGACAATGCGCTTGACTGATTCATCTCTCCGTCTACACAGAGCTCTGTAAACACGTCTTGCAAAAGACTCCGCAGGAAACAGAACCTTCCAACGACGGTTCTCGCCCCGCAGGGGAGGATTGTGGGACTCTGCACTTTTCTGCCTTTTCTTGACTTTTATGTAAGAAGCATGTTTACTTTTATAATTAGGAAAAAAAATTAAGGAAAGGGAGGTAAACAAAAAAAAATCTAAGAGAGAGGGGTAAGGCCTGATTAGAACTGACTATTTACTAATGAAGATGAAAGCGGCCAACTCACCCGTCGTATTTCTCTATATTAATCTCATATAAAGTCTCCTTGGCTTGGTTAGCATGTTCGGTAACTGCAGGGAAAAACATTACATCATACAGTTGATATTCACATCTGTGCATCTTCACTTAAATTAAAAGGCAAATAAACCATTCTTTTTGAATGAGGTCCCATAAAACCTACAGGGGGATTTCCTATACAAAATCCCTTCTTAGATGGGATCAGGCCAACCTCATTGGAATGTGGCCCTCTCAGGACACAGTCTACTGGGTGAGATACGGCATTCGTGGCATTTAATTGCCAACAAATTATAATTTCTTTGAAAGAGATTACATCTTCTATTTTCTACTTTTTCCTTATTATACAAGTTGTTTTCAAAATTGGAGAATATACCAAAATATAGAAAGGAGACAATGGTGGTCTGTAGTCTCTATACCCAATATAAATTTCTACTAAGATTCTGCTGTACACACAATTTTGTATCCTTGTTTTCCCATTATATCACCATCATTTTTTTATCATTAAAAATTCTTTATAAAGATCATTTTCAGGTGCTACATAACATTCCTTCAGATTCATCACAATTGTAGGCTTACATTTCCTGTTTGGAGCATTTAAGTTGTGTTTAATGCTCTGCTGTTATAAAAAGAGGGGCCACAGACATCTGTGTACCTCAGTCTCCGTGTACCCCTGACTGTCTTCCTAGGAAAGATTTAGAAAACATAGAATACTGGGCAAAAAACCCCGCATTTTTCAGGCTCTCGACCCACATTGCCAGGTGACTTTTTTTTTTTTTTTTGAGACAGGGTCTGGCTCTGTCTCCCAGGCTAGAGTGCAGTGGCATCATAGCTCATTGCAGCCTCCAACTCCTGGGCTCAAGTGATCCTCCTGCCTCAGCCTCCTGAGCAGCTGGGACTACAGGTGTGCACTACCAAGCCAGCTAATTTTTTCCATTTTTGGTGAAGACGGGGTCTCACTCTTGCGCAGGCTGGTCTTGGAACTCCTAAGTTCAAGCAATCCTCCCCCCTCGGTCTCCCAGAGTGCTAGGATGACAGGAACTTTTCAATATGGATTCACAAAATGCTCAGTCCCTGAGCAAGGGCTAGAGAACCTGGCCTTTCCACACCTCCCGGCATCTAGTATTTGCGCTGAAAACTCGGTGTCACAATTGTGTGTCGAATTATGTTTCCTATGATGTCACTTACTGGTGAGATTATTTCTAAGACTTATTAATCCCTTATATCTCTTCTTGCAAGAATTTTCTGTCTACGATCTTGTCCTTTTATCTTCCTAGTGTTTTTTTGAGTGTTTTACATGCTAAGACTTGGCTGGGAAAGACTACCTTCTTTATTTTGTATTCTTCTCATTCCGGTATATTTAAAAAATTCTATTCTGCTTAAAACAATACAAACCTTCTCTCGTGACTACCTTTAAATCATTCTCAGGTTTCCTTCTACGTATTTAGCACAGATCTGAACCTCACCGATTATGTCGGTGGTGATGGAGGCCAGCGTAAACAATGGCGCCACTTTTTGCTCGTAGATGCGCTTGCCTTTCCCTTTTCCTCCAAACGGGTTGATAAACACCAGCAAATGCTTTGGTCTCGACGCTGCAAGACGACAACAGCAACATGTGAATCACAATGAAAATAATGAAGCCAAAGTTAAGAGTTATGTTACTAGACAAAAGCAAACCATTATGGTTTCAGAATTCTTAGTATTACCTCATAATACCTGCTAATACTAGTAGTTTTAAATCTTAAAGAACAGGGATAAAGAGCTTCCTAATCTACGAAAACAGAGAGGCAGCAGCTGTGAGAACGGCGGGGCGGGCGCCGCGCACACCTGCTGGATGTGAGGACAGTCCCAGGAATGCACAATTCTCACTGCGAAAAACTCGCTCTCCCCGAGAGAGCCTGGGATGCAAACCGAGGCGGCCTTGCTCTTCCGCACGTGGAGGGAGCGAGTTTGCAGAGGACGAGGAGCAGGAAGCGGCCGCGCAGAGAGGAGTGCCGGAGACGGGCGGGCACCAGGGGAGAAAGCGCGGGAGCAGCTCAGAGGCGCGGACAGACGGGAAGATGCGGGGCCCGGGCCCAGTTTTCGGCCTCCGCAGACCCGGCCGATCTCCCGTGGAGGGGTTTCCTGAGGAACCCTATTTTTTATAACAACCTGCACATTCCTGCGTTGGTCAGTTCAGGTAGATTCTGCTACTTAAAAAATAAATTTCACTAGTCAGTAAAAGTAACAAGAAGGTATGTGCCCAAGAAAATTGAAAACCTAAGTGCCTACGGAAACCGAGGCACAAGTGTTCACAGCAGCCAAAGAGGAAACGACCCAAATGGCCAACGACTGACGCAGACGCAGTGTGGTCAGTCCACACGCGGAACGTCCCTCAGTCACGAAAGTGAACCACAGCCGCGCCACCACCATGGAGAAATGTCGCCAACAGCACGCCGCGGGGCCGGAGCTCACATAGAGTTCGCGTCACGAGATTCCATTTTGCGAAGGCCTAGGGCAGGGGACACAGCAACCGGACAGGGCCGGCCTGGTGCCGTCCGCGGACCTCGGACCACAGAACGCTCCCGGCCTACGTCGGTCCTCACGGCTCGTGGCGGGCGGGTGTGCGGCCTCGCAGCTCGCTGCCTGAAACGTGGGATCTGTCCGTTTCACAGAACCAGACCATCTTCTGAGGTAAAACAAATTTTAAGGAAAAAACAGCCCCACCTCGTGCAGAGAACAGAAGAGGGAGAAACGTGTCTGAGCTCTCTGCGTAAGTCCTCTGTGGCCTTCAGAGCAAAACCCGGCAAGCGCGTTACCAGACAGGGAACCCGCAGGCCTCGTCCTCCCCAGACCTAAGTGCAAAAGTCCCGAACGAAACATCAGCAGTCACGTCGGTGACGACGGAAAGCTGCGTCATGACCAAGACGGGTGTGTCCGCTCCGGGAATGTAAAGGGTTGTAACAATGAGAAATTAACGTAATTCAACGTATTAACTCAAAAAAGATCAAACAATCATCTCAACAGATGCAGGAAAAGCATTTATTGAATTTAATTCCCTTTTCATGATTTTAAAAAACCCGGAATTCTCAGAAAACTAGGATTAGAAGGGAATCCCCTTAATCTGATTTTTAAAATCCATTAATAAGCTAAGAAGCATCATTCTTGATGGTGAAATGGTGAAAACCTTCCCTGCGATGGGGACTCAGACAGGGATGCTGCCACCCCCTGCGCTGGTGGTCCGGACAGGGCAAAAACGCGAGAAAAAGAAATAAAAGGGAGAAGAATTGATACTGAAGAAACAGAACTGTCATTACACACAGCTGACACGCTTGTGTTTGACCAAGATCTGAAAGAATCACCAAACTATTAGCATTAATTAGTGAGCTTAGCAAGGTCACGGGGTGGAAGGTGACATACGTAATTCTATCACGTTTCCATACACGAGCGATAGAAGATAAAAAACATAATGGGGGCATAGCAATGCGGCAGGGGGAGGGAGGTCTTTCCCATAAATGGCGCGGGGTCAGTGGATATTTATAATTTAAGAATGTGAACCTTGACCTCTCACCTCACACCATATGCAAAGATCAGTTCCAAATGGTTGTCATCTACACTGACAGGGAAAACAATAAAGCCTTGAGAATGAAACATCTTCACGACCTTGGAGTAGACAGGGATGTCTTAAACAGGATACAATCTTACCACAAAGTTTTTACAAAAACATAAAAATAAATTAACAACAACAAAAAAAGATAGAGTGATATTAAGAATGTCTGTTCATCAAAATATCCCAATAAACGCCACTAATATCCCAAATATCCCAATACCGCGAGGGGAATAGCCTGGCGGTGCCTGTTGAAGCCGGACACGTGTGTGCTCCACGCCAGCGAGTCCACTGCTAGCGCACACCCAAGAGAAACATGAACCTGTTCAAAAAGACACGTACTAGAACGTCCACCACACTGTTATCTACAAGAGCAAAACGGGGGGATAGATGGCCACACGGTGCCTCGTGGAACACCACACCGCCAGGAGAATGACCAAACCGCAACCAGAGGCAACGGCGTGGAAAATTTCACCAACACGATGTCGGGCACAAAGCCAGACGCAGTAGAGTTTATGCTGTGTGACCAGATGTGTAAAAGCACAAACACGGATCTAGTTGCTCAGAAGCCGTGCTGGCGTTACCCTTGGGGGAGCAGCGACCACAGGGCAGGGGCTCCCCGGGGCTGGCCACGCTCCGTCTCTTGAGCAGGGTGCGGTACCCGAGTGTGCTCAGTGTGAAAACAAGCCAGAATGTGAGCACTTCTCTATGACGTGTCGATAAAACATCGAAAGGGATAACAGCATGGGAAGTCAAAACTGTAGAGTAGCTGAAATAATAGAACCGTGCGCTATCTTTAGATACGAGCAGACTATATCAAAGGTGCAACATATGGGTTTTCCTGTGAATTACACAGAAAAAATAAATCCACATTATTCAACAGACAGCAGAGTCCTGGAGATTTTCTCTTGGAGTCTGGACCTACAGAATCAAACCCGGAACCTAAAAACTCAAAGTCTCATGGGAACAAACAGATGTGACAGGAGCGGTCAGGCGGGAGCAGGTGCGGACAGGGAGGAAGAGACCGGAGCCAAACAGAGAAGAAGGTGGGAGAAGCTGCGGCCCGTCTCTGAACAGCCTGGTACACAGAGACAGGGACGGGGTGGGCTGAGACGTGAGGAAGGTCAGGGTGAGCTCGTTCCGGCAGCAGGCAGTGAAGACCTGATCCCACAGGATAAAACAGCGCTGCGCGGAAACGCAAGTCCTCTCGCCCCAGAGAGAATCGAAAACTCTGCTTTTACGAGCAAGGACATTTCTCTAAAGTTAAATGTGGGAATATCTTCTTCAAATAAATTAAAACTCACTTTCTTGAGGTAGATGCCAAATTAACTCAAAAAGATAAAACCAACATAAACACATGCTATTTCTATTCTACGGCCGAAGCCTGTATTGAGTTGTCAAGGTGAAGACTGTGTATTAAGGTTATAGCCAAACATAAAATAGTGTTATAGACACTAAACGAATGAGCACCTACCACTTTTTTTTTTTTTTTTTTTTTAGAGACGGAGTCCCGCTCTGTCTCCCAGGCTGGAGTGCAGCGGCTCGATCACAGCTCACCGCAGCCTCCAACTCCTGGGCTCAAGCGATCCTCCTGCCTCAGCCTCCTGGGCAGCCAGGACTATAGGTGCCCACCACACCGTGTTCCTACCACGTTTTAAGGGTGACAAAGAAGCTGCTGTTACTCAGCATACAGTGACCAAGCCCAGGCTCCTGCGGCACTGGCTCCACGCAGACACGTCCCCCACAGGTGGGGGGGCACTCCTCCAGGTGGCTGGCTCCGTCCCGCATTCACCTGGAACGCTGGAGCTGCTACCGTCCCCACCTCCAGAAAGAGAACCCAAGGCTCAGGAGGACGAGTGAACGGCCTCAGGTCTCCGGCAGGTAATCCGGGGGCTCAGATGCCACACCGGGGTCAGGATTTCCCGGTGGGGGGCTGCGACTCGATCCCGGGGCCGGGGCCGTGGAGCCCATGCTCTCGGCACTCGCTCCGCCGGTCCTCTAACGAGTAAATTTTTAAGAAGTCGGACTGACTGATCGCGTCCACCGTGGGTGCGACCAGCTGTATGGAGGGAGGGGAGCTGTCAGGGAGACCAGCAAATCCCGCGTGTGACCCCCACGCGGTCCCGTCTGTCAGTCCAAACACGTACTCAGCGTCTCCAGCATGGCCCTCAGGGTCTGCAGCCACAGGTGACACAGCTGCTCCTCTGGGCAGCAGAAAGTCACCTGCGCCCACTTCCAGCGGTGGTGCCGAGCTCTCTTCACGCAGTGGACTGCACAGAAACAAACACGCACGTTAGCCGTGGTGCGCGGCCCGGCCGACGAAACCCCAAGGGAACGCGCTTCACGTGCACGCGAATTACAGGCTCACAGCTGAAAACTCCCCAGGGCTTCTCTCTTTTTTTTTTAGCTAGTTAGTAACTTTCAAGGTATATTAGGAAAAAAACATCCTATTTTCAGATCTCTTAAGCCATATTAAAAAAAATTAGAAATAAAGATGATCATCAACCAAAACATGAACTAAAAGTAGATCTTGGAAAAATTATTAGGAAGAGTCTATGAAGACAAACCAACCCATGGAGTCTGCGAAACAAATAACCAAAAAAGCTCCCTCTCGCGTGTCTGTGTGGAACTAGCGAGGCGTCGTGGGGAGACGCCGGGCTCTGTCACCTGTGAACGCGAACGGCTTCTCCATCTTCTGCCACCTGCCGCTGCTGCGGTGCTTCCCGTGGACGTCTGTTTCTTCCACGGCGATGATCTCGGCTATCGGCACAGAGCAGGCATCTGTAAAACACACGCCGTGTGGCCAAAAGGCTGAGAACGTTCTGCTTCAACACTGTCATTAGAAATCCAAAAATCAAAAGGAAGGTACGTGTCACTTTTTCACTCTGAGCTAAATAACCACGGGCAGCTCGGCGTTACCAGGTTGTCCCGCCCAGCACAGTCGCCAAACGCAGGCAGCGCCTATTCACACGATCACTCGGCCATTCGGGCAGCAAAAGCTTTTCCGGGGCAGCTACCACGCTAAATTTGGGGAAACATGTTCAAGACACGGTCTCTGTCCTTGGGACGGCATCTGGCTGGGCAATCCAAGCGGAAGGAACGTAACAGGACGTGGGCGGCCAGAACCACAGGGAGCACAAGGGAGCGTCAGGGCCCAGCCACAGGGTGGGTTCCGGAAAGGCCACGGCGGGTCCACCCGGATGAAGGGGTAGGAAGCGGGGACTGGGGGATGCTGGCTCTGGACATTCTCCCCCACGAAGCCCAGGGAAGGGCAGATTCCATGCCAGCCACCCTGGGGGTGTTCAGCGGCAGCTGTGATCACAGGCACGCGCATCAAAAGAGAGTTCTGGGCGGGAGCGCGGCCGCGGGAGGTGGGGGGCGTTGGTTTTGGTTTTGTTGAAGGGGCCCCCCAGGAGAGCACAGAGCAGGGAAGACAGCAGAGCCCGGGCTGAACAGGCCGTGTTCCAAGAGCTTACTCGGGAATTGCTGTTAGGGATTCACGATATATTTTTACACAGAATTATGTTATAGTTTGTGGTTAGCTTCCTAGGTTGGCTATAAAACCGGTAATAGAGCTGTCATGATCCCTATTGTACGGACGAGGAAACTGGGGCTCACAAGTCGAATGACACATCCAGGGCAGAGACTAGCACTTGGGAAATCTACTCAAAACTTCTTCTCTTCCGTCCTCCAGAGGTTAAAGAGAGCCTGCCACATGTAGACGCTGCAGCCAGCGGGGGCGGCCCCCTCCACCTGCCACCCGACTCGCACACCTGTCCAGGCCCCGCCTCCCCAGGGGCTGTTTCTGGACGATGCTAATCCCACAGAGCCTCCTGACCTGCGGCACTTCTCAACGACGCCCAGGCAGCAGGACGTGCACCTGGCAAGGTTTGAACATTGGCAGCCGCAAAGCAACTCAAATTGGCTAAGAAGAAAAGAGTTTTTAAAATAATGATCGAGCGAGCCAGGACAGCGAGCTGTGTTTCACCATCTTTAATTTTGTAAGACTGAAGTTTTCATTTACGAGAACATCCTTACAGCTAATACATCAGGGCAGGTCTTTCTTGGGGTGTCGAGCATTTTATAAAGCTGTATTTTAAATATTTTGTTCACGTCTTGTTAGAATACAGCTCAAATGAATTAGAAGCCTGAGAGTTGACTATTACCCCCATTTTCACTTTCAGATCCTACAGCTAAACTTGAACACGCCTCTGTATTTTTCAGTTCGTCATTAATTTTTATCCTAATAATAAAAAACAATCTGCTCAGGGCAATTAGTACTGGTTCAAATATTACAATTATTACACACTGAAAAAAAGTTCTCATTCAATAAAGTCCTTACCAAAAATGGACTGGAAATTTATAATCCAATCTCAGCTGAAAGGTTCAATGCTTTTGCTGACAACAGATAGATTCTCTGTTGTGCTCCTCGCGCCCACTGTGCCTCATGTTGACAAGCAGTGAGCCCCGAAAAAGACAATGACCGAGCGGCCATCACATTCCAGAAACACCGAAGGCCACGTCGGCGAGTGAGCCCGGACGGCTTGCTCCTGGCCGGCCCACGTGTTTGCAGGCCCCTTTCTGCAGACCCAGCAGGATTGCAGCACGCAGCGCAGGGCTTGCTAGGGCGGCTGAGAGGGCTCGACTTCCAGCATCTTCTCTTTCGATTCTGTTCTATTTGTTTGTAGTGCTCATCACCATTCACTAAGTTTATTTCATGACTGTGACTCGCAGATGAAAACTAGTGCCTGCTGCCAGTTGGCTCGGATCCAGAAGTTCCTGGACTAAACCGGCCACACGCAGCAGCGCCACCTCCAGCAGGGGAGCCTGTGGGATTCCTGGTGTCACGAGGGCTGCCAGTGTCACAGGGACACAGGCGCATCGTGTGTAAACACAAACACGCCCGCTCAACAAGGCCAAGGTCGAGGTGGGGAGGAACGTGTTGCTCAGCTGGGCCTCCCACAGCCATCTAGGAGGCCCCAGATGCCTTCTGCCTCTTGGGATGTGCAGCGAGAACAAAAACAAGTGCATAGTCGAGGGACATGGTCCCCAATGGCTCTTCGGAAGTGTGAGCCCCGATGTGAGAGGCAGCGAAGGGGGCGGAGCAAGAGAGCTGGCCACTGCCGGCCCTGCCCGCTAGAGTGGTGTGAAGTATATTGCAGAAGTCTGAGGCCCACATCCACAGGGACCCCGGGTGACGCCGAGGCCCAGAGAGGTGGCGTGAGGTAGGCCCACCTCTGCACACCCAGCTGGAGGAAGAACGCCCGAGAGATTGGAATTGGTAGCGAGTCGATTCCCCTGCAATTACACACGACAGACGCATTTCCCCGCTAGCACACGCTCAGCAAACATCCGCTGTATAAACACCTGACGTCACTAAAAATTCTTGCCTGTGCAAAGTAAGACCAAAGAACAGTACTACCCCTGACTGCCACGGAGAGCCCAGAAATACCACGCAGTAACAAACTGCCTTGAGAGTGGTCGAGCTGTCCCCGTCCCCTCCCCACCTGCCATGTCAATCATGACACAGCCCTCCATTTGTTCGACACCAGACAGAAGGCGGGAAAGGCCAAAACCCACGTGGTGTCAATGGTACAGTCTGAGCTGCGAATTCTCCAGATTTGATTGACAGATCTGCATCAGGGTTGGTGGCAAATGTCACTTCCCGCACGCTGAGACTGGCCTTTGGATGATCCAACTGCAAGCATTAGAAGTAGCTCTTCATGATGCTGCAATGTGCTGGGGTTGCCTTGCTCAATTCATCAGCACCTGCCTGGGCCTGAAAAGGTGAGCTGGGAAGAGAGCCTGCCGGCATCACCAGGTGTCAGACACCCAGGGGGCTCGTCAGCCAGCACTAGTGATGCTACCATGTGGCCGCACTGTTCCCGCATGTAGGAAAACGGTGTCCAAAGCAGGCCCCTGGCAGCAAGGAGCTTCGCATCGATTTGGGGAGATCCAACTCAGACCCAGGAGGTGACAGTTGGGGGCTATAATGCGTGGAGGCCCCCTTGGGAGGCAGGTGTGGAGTTGGAGAACCACCTGGAGTGGCCTCCCCAGGGTCACCTGGCTGGTTAGGAGCAGAACCTCAACAGGCCACCAGCAACATAAGGCCGCAGTGCAGGTGAGGTCGCACGGGCCGTCTCGACACCCAACAGCATTCTCTGGGCACCAGCACACCAGGCGCTCTGCTAGGACCGACACAGAAGTACCGAACCAGATGGTGGCTTTTCCTGTTAAGCTAGAAGGTTTTCAGGGCAGGGCAGAACTTATGCACCTGTGTGTCCCCAGTCTGTGGGTGCAGGAAACGGGCTGGGTTAGTCCTAGACCTGCTTATATGATATCAGCAGAACCAAAGGCCGTGCCAGCTGGCATTCCAACCCACAGAAGACCTGCCGTCTCCACCCACATTCATTCCTCAGGCCACGGGAAATCCTGCGTTGGCCTTCCCGTCCTAGGGACAAGACGGGAGTCAGAGGACCCCAGGGACCGCTCAGTGCCTTGGGGCCACTAAGAGCCCACCTGCCCCACCATGTGAGACAGACTCACCACCTGTGCCCACCCAGGCTGAGCACCTGCTTTTAAAAAAGGAAAATTCTCCAAAGGATTTTAACAGGATTCAGTCTCACAACATAATATTCCAAATGTCCAGGAAATAACCCAGAATTAATCATCCCGTCAAGAAACAGGAAACACTGACATTCTCAAGGGAACAGACAATGAACAGACGTCGAACGTGAGGTAACCCAGATGTTGGCATTACAGACGAAAACTTGAAGTGACTGCTACCGCCGTGCTCGCTGAGGCACAGCTGAACATTCTTACAGTGGACAGAGAGACAGAAGTTCTCAGGAAAGAAACAGGAACTATGGGAACTGAATGGAAAATTTAGAACTGCAAAGTGCAGTATCTGAAATTGAAAAATCACTGGCTGGGCCAGTAGCAGAATGGATGTGATAGAGGAAAATCAATGACGTTGAAAATAGGTCAGTAGAAATAATCTATTCAGAAGAACAGATCGGAAAAAAAATTTAATGTACAAGAACCTTCCACTTCCACTTCTAAGAAGATGGACGAGATGTACTTTTCCCTACTCCTCTGAATGTCACATATGAAACAAACAAGACTCTGAAAGGTGGAGGCAGCAGGCTGTCGGGGGGACCGGGGCCCAAAACGGGACATGGTGGTCCCCTGGGCTTTCTTCTTGCCTCCGGTATCTTGGGTTTGGAACTCAAGAAGCCTGCGACCCGGAAGTGCCAGCAGGTGCAAACAAAAGTCCCCAACAAAAGCCTGCTCCCTCTAGCCGAAGGCCCTGGGAAGGGGCAGCCTCACGAGACAGAAATTCGTAGACAATGGCTGCCCTGCTCCAGCCAAACACCACAGAAGAAACCACCTCCCTCCCACGGCGCCAGCTGGGGGCCCAGACTTCCACCCGCCCTAATGAGCCACCCGACACCCCTGGCAGGGCAGCGCAAGAGAACGCCAAGCAGGGAGCTGGGATTCTCATCCGAGCCCCTCCCCCCAGTATCGGTGGAGACCCAGGGGCCGCCTGGGCTCCCACCTCCACCCAGCAGGAACTCGCAGCCCCTGCCTCAGCCGCCAAGGCTGAGGGACACGGACTTGCACCCCACCTGGCAGTGACTAGCGCTCTGCCCCGTAGAAAGCAGCTACGACAGAAGGCTAGGTAGTACCCGGAGTCTCAGAACATGCTACGAAATATCCAGGCCTCAACTGAAAGTCAGCTACCACGCCAAGCACAGGACCATCTCACACTGAATGAAAAA